GCAGTTGTAATGATAAATTCTCTTGAAAAGACATAAAAGTCCTAAAATTGTTTTATGCTCATATATCAAGTTAACAGTTAATTTGGTGGTGGTTATATGCATGTATACATGTTAGTCAGGTTAGGTCAACTGCTGTAACAGATAGAAAATATATAATGGCTCAAACATAATAGAAGTGTATTTCTTGCTTGTATAAGCACTGGGTGGGTGAATTCGCAGTAAGTAGAGTGGTTCTCATTCACACTCTTCAGGGACTCACACTAATGGATACTGTGCTATTGCCAGTACGTGGCCCCAAGGTTGCCCTGGGGGTCATCTCCAGTCCAGGTATCTGAAAGGGGGAAGAAAGAACACCCAGGCACACCTGTAAAAGTGTGTTAGGCCTAAGCCTGGAGGTAGAGCACGTTATTTCCATCACGATTTCAATGTCTAGAACTCAGTCACAAGGTTGCGCCCAGTGCAGGGGAGGCTGAGAAGTGTAGACTGACTGTCCAGGAAGAAACAGAGAACATGGATTTTAATGAGCGGCTGGCAGACTCTCTCTGCTTTAACACCCTTGATGCTTCTCAGGCCTTGGCCACCAAGTTAGAAGGTAGATTTGTGCCGACCGTCTTGTCTGCTCCCTGTTGGCTCGTCGGTGTGTCTGTACAGCATGATGGTGATGCTGCCCATCCAGCTTATGGTGCTTCGCCAGCAAGCTTCCACACTAGACAGCAGTTCTTCAGGGAATTTCTGCTTTCATTCATTCAACACTTACTAAGCACCTAGGCTCTTGGAAGTACTAGACATATATCAGTGAATAAAGGCCTTTTGGAAGTTTATCCTCTCATGTAAGACAACGATAATCATGAGTTTATGTCAAGCACTGTGAAGAAGAGAGGATAACAGGGAGAGAAGTATTACTTTCGCTAACATCCTCAGAGTTGACTTCTCTGGGGAACTGGCATGTGAACTGAACCTCTCGGGCTGGAAGAGCAGCATTCCAAGTAGAGACCCTAAGGCAGTGGTAATGAACTTGGCTTGTTCAAGGAACTTGTATCCTGGAGACCGGTGTATGTGGAGAGTAGTAAGCAAGTCAAGCTCGTGTGAGATGGGGCTTTGAAGACTTGCCAAATGTTGTGTGCAAGGCCTTGCAGACCTTGGAGATCTAATTTTTATTTTATCTGAAAGTGAGATTAAGCCCTGAAAAGGTTGTTTGCTTTTGCAACAGCTTTATGAGATATAATCCACATACCATAGAATTCATCCATTCAAAAGGTACCATCCAGTCAGTGGCTATTAAAATATTGGTGGTGTGCAACCATTACCACAGTCAATTTTAGAACATTTTCATTTCTCCCCCACAAATTTCATACCCTTTAGAAGTCACCCTATTTCCTCCCAAACCCCCAGCCTCAGGCAACCACTAATCTATTTTCTGTCTATAGATTTGCCTGTTCTGGACATTTCATAGAAATGGGATCTTAGAAAATGTGGTCTTTTGTGACTGTGGTCTTCAGCATAATGTTTTTGGGGTTCATCTACATTATACCATGTCGCAGTACATCACTTTTTTTATGGCTGAATAACACTCCATTATATGGATATACTTACCATGTCTTAGATATCCATTAATTTGTCGATGGATATTTTGGTTGTTTTCACCTTTTGGCTATTACTGGTAATGCTGCTATGAACATTCGTGTAAAGTTTCGTGTGTCCATGTATTTTCATTTCTCTTGTATGTATACCTAGGAGAATTGTTAGATCATATGTTAAACTATGTTTAACCTTTTGCTCAACTGCCAGACTGTTTTCCAAAGTGGCTGCACCATTTTACTTTGCCACCAGCAAGCAGTATACGATGGTTCCAGTTTCTCCATCTCCTTGTCAGCACTTGTTATTACCTGTCTTTTTGATGAAAGCCATGCTAGTGGAAGTGAAGTGGTACCCTCGTTATGGTTTTGATGTGCATCTCCCTAATGGCTTATGACGTCAAACATCTTTTCAGGTTTTATTGGCCATTTGTTTATTTTCTTTGGAGAAATGTCTATTCTAGAAATGTCTATCCTTTATTATTGAGTTACTAGAGTTCTTCATATAGTCTAGATACAAGTCTCTTATCAGATATATTATTTGCAAATATAGTCTCCCATCCTATAGATTGTCTTTCCCTTTCTCGATGGTACCCTTTGAAGCACAAAAGTTTTTAATTTTGATGAAGTCCAAGTTACCTATTTTTTCTTTCATTGCTTGTGCTTTTAGTGTCCTAAGGAACCACTGCATAATCCAAGGTCATGAAGATTGATACTTGTATTTTCTTCTAAGAGTTTTATAGTTTTTACTCATATATTTATGTCTTCATGGTTTCTGGCAATTATGAATAAAGCATATATAAACATCCACATACAGATCTTTGCGTGGACATAGGTTTTCATTTCTCCTAAGTAAATGTCTAGGAGTAGAATTGTTGGGTCATGTAGTCAATGTATGTTTAACTTTATAAGAAATTGTCAGGCTGTTTTCCAAAGTGGTTTTACTATTTTGCATTTCCCTCAACCATTTATGAGAATTCTAGTTTCTCTCATTTTCACCAACCCTTGGTATATTTAATCTTTAATCTTAGCTGTTCTAGTAGGTGTGTCATGGCATCTCACTGTGCTTTTAATCTGCATTTCTCTTATGACTAGTTATGTTTTCTGGAGCTTATTTGCCATCCCTGTATATTCTCTGATGAAGGGTCTGTTCAGATCTTTTGTCCACTTTTTAAACTTATTGAGTTCTGAGAGATCTTTATATGTTCATCTCGGTTCAGTGCTTTCTTAGATGTTTGTAAATATTTTCTTTGAGCCTATGCTTATCTTTCATTTTCTTAGCAGTGTCTTTCAAAGAGAAAATGGTTTTAATTTTGATAAAGTCCAGTTTGTCATATTGTTGTGATTCATGATATTTGCTTAATAATCCAAAATCACAAAGATTTTTCTGTGCTAAATATGGAAATACAAATATGAACAAGGTATACAAAGGTACTTGTCTTTATTTTTCTTCTGTGTTTTCTTCTTATAATTTTATAGTTTCAGCTTTTATATTTAAGTCTGTGATCCATTAAGTTAATTTTTTGTAGGCAAGGCTCAAGGTTCACTTTTTATATGGATTGTTCAGGACCATTTATTGAAACTACTATGCTCCCTCGTTGAATCTTGATACCTTTATTGATAATCAACTGAGTATATATCTTTGGGTTATCCCATCTTTAACAAAGACCTCCCTCAACCCAACATGCCCATTTAATCGAAAGTTTGTAACTCCCATATAGCCACAACTGTTTTTTAAAGAGTGGTCTAGATGCCATTTCTTTGTCCTCACTTTTTATTCCTCACACTGACGTGCTCTACTATTTCACTAAAACGGTTCTTGCCAGAATCACTAGGAATCTGTTTGAAATCCAGTGGATACAGTTTCATCCTTGTCTCATGTGATTCAGTAGCCTTGCACCTCATCGACCCCTCCCTCCTTTTTCAGACACTTTCTTCCCTTGGCTAATATAGCATCCCACCATCCTTATTTTTCTTCTGTTTTTTTTTTTTTCTACTTGTCCCTATGTGTCTGCTTTGCTAGTTCTCCTTTTGCCTATTTCTTAAATATCAGTGTCCCTTGGGATTCTGACCAAAGCCTTTTATTTTTCTCATTCTATGCACATTCCCTCCTTATTTTATCTAATCCTCTAGCTGAAGAATCTCAAATTATTATCTAGCCCACATTTTTTTCTGAGCATCATTTCTACGTAATCAACTGCCCACCAAGACCACAGGCTCTCTGAAGAAAAATATCTTGTATGTAACTTGTTTATATTCGTATTCCCATGTTTAGCACACAGAACAATAACTATTTGTTGACTGAATGAAAAGTGAATACATGAACAAATCGAGCGAACTGTGCAGTTAATATTATGTCTTGTAATTCTGATAGAGCATTTTAATATTGGTCCTTTTACTGATGCCACGTATTTGTAGTGAGTACATACATGACTGGCACAGAAGAAGTAAATTACTTTTGGAATCACATGCTTTGCCTTTGCCATGGCTCAGTGTTTTCGTCATAGTTGGTAGGGAACCTTGGGAGGAAGACATGGGACTGAGATCCTGGGCAGGAGCAGTAAGGAGGTGAACGAGCCAGGGTACATTTCTCCAGATGTTTCAAACACTGTTTTTAAGGTTATTTAGACCAATATTTTACTTTAGGAATTAACCTGTATTTGGGGGAGAATAAAATATTTTAATACCCTATTAAATTCTGGTCGTAGCTTTAGTTATAATACATTATTTCTCTCTGAGTTTTCACCCAAATTTTTATTAAGTCCCTATAATATTTTTCTCTTTGCCCTAAAATGATGTTGAGAGTTATATGGAAGGCATGAACTGGATAATGTAGATTATTTTGGATCTGGTATGATGAATATTTTTATGATCTGAATGTTCACAGCAAAGAATGTGTGTGTGTGTGTGTGCACGCGTGTGTGTGTGTGTGTGTGTGTGTGTGTGTGTTCCGGCCCCTACAGCATCTGGTGTTCCTAGTTGGTCTCCCATCCAAGTACTAACCAGGCCGGACCCTGCTTAGCTTCCAAGATCAGACAAGATTGGGCTCATTCAGGGCGGCATGGCCTTAGATCTAAGAACGTATGTGTTTTCTGTGGGCTTAGCATTATACCCAGACTTTTGGGGTTAATTGAGAAAAATATATAAGACAGAATCTTCATTGCTGCCCTCGGGGAGCACACAGCTTCGGGGAGATAAGAGCCACAAACAGCGAGTAAATAGCAACACCTGTCATGCAGTTTGTAGTGTCGTTGCATGTTCCTCAGCAAGAAAAATAGAGTCCTGCCACTAGACATGTACTATCGGCCTTGCCTGTCACTGTGAGCTGTTCTGAAAGCGTTTAGGGTTTCTCTGTAAATGCCCTTTTTATTTGTTCTGGAGCATGCAGTCCCTCACATTTCTCTGTCTCTCTCTCCTACATTTCAGTGAGCGGTTTCTGGTGAGACTGAACAAGAATGGTGGGCCAAGGAACCCAGAGAAGATAGAACGAATGTGTGCCCTTTTTACAGTATGTGCAAATTACTCTCTGCTGTTGACTCTGACAAGGGCCTGCTGTGTGGATACTGTCACCCTAGAAACAAGCATTTAGTCTCATTTCCCCACACACTGGGTAGAATGGGACTTGATTTATGTTTCTATCAGGTTTAATGAAATATTTAAAGAAAACCGAAATTAGTTTTTAATTGAATTTTTTATTAAAGAAATATAATCAAGTACCTTTTACTAATATGAATTGTATAAGCTATTTAATATAATAGACACTTAAAATCTGAAAAAAAAGTCTTTCTTACTATTCTTATTCAAGGCCGCTGGGAATTTCTCTCATGTTTAAGTATAGTTTCTCTAAAGACATCCATCAAATTTATAGCTTGCGGTGTTTTAGTGAGTGCTTATAAAGAGAGATAAACTAAGTAGTCCTCCTCTTTGGAGTACCAAACAGAGCGTCTTTTCCTACTATTATCTGTAGTCTGCACTTTTTTCCCTGCATACCCATGCTGTTATTCTTGGTCTCTGCGATCATGGACTCATCAGCTCAGAGAAGGCTGGGTAATCTGCTTATTGGAAAGAGCTAAGCCTCACAATACCACATTACCTTGTGTATTCTTCAAGTTGATTCTGATTTACTAAAGTTTTTTACCCATTTAGAAAGCTAACTGCTCAGCTTTATTCAAGTTAATTAACGTACTAAGAAGAAAACAAGACTGTCACAATTTTAAACCAGCTTTGACTGTTGCAAATTCTTTGATCTACTTCAGTGATACTGAGATGCATCAAAATCCATTGAGGTGTGGTGGTCTCAGTGCCACTGCCCTGTGTGGTACATGAATGATGGGCGACTCATTACCTAAGACTTGAGTTCCTCCTGTGGGCTAAGGAGTTTTCCAAATTAGCATATGTGCTACAGTGGCAGGTGTCTCAAATCCCACCTCTGAAACACAAGTGGGATTTGCGATATATGTGACTCTCTGAATGATAAAATTGAATTTGACATTTTTTTTTTAATTTACTACAACTTTAATCTTTCAAAACCTAAAACAGTTTTATTATGGAATCAGAAACCACTTTCACAGACATGGCTTTTATTGAAAATGCTCCAGATATACAGAAAGATTTATAAATATACTCAAGCTAAAATGACATCTGTCCATCTTCGAGCTCAGCATTCAAAGCTCAGTAAGAAAGAGCAGGAGACACAGACTCATGAAGACGGTTAAGGGACTCGAAGTGGTCTAGTCAGGGAAGATCAACGCTTTCTCTTCAACGGAAAAAAAAAGAAAGAGTCTAAATTGCAGTCGGTAGGATGCAGATTAGCATATTGGGGGAGAGCTTCTGAAGCGAGTGCCTGAACTGAGGTGGTACCCGGGGCTGCCTTTCTGAAACAGAACTAGAGAAAGAGGAGAGGCCCTTTGTCTAGAACGTCTCACTAGCCTTAGGAGGTCTTCTAGATCCTCTGATATTATTTGGTTGAAGCAGCAAAAGAGATCGTTGCTTCGTTGCTCCTTGGCATTATGGGAACAGAGCTAGCTGTGTGTGTGCTATGCTTGAGTATGATGAGTGCAGTCCTCGTCTTTCGAAAAAAAAATGAACTTAATTATGGTACTATTTGAATGTAATTATGGTAAATCGAAATTTTTATTTCATAGCATTTTAATTATCTATATGGGCTCGGAGGCCCAAGCTGTGGCTCCAACTTTATAAATCAGAGATGCGCGTAACACTCGCGCTCTCATGCCGCCAGCGGGAAGACAGAAGGCCACTAAAAATACCACTTCTCTAGTCCCCTTTGCAGTACAACAGCCCTTGATTTTTAAAAAAAGATCCCAAAAGTGGTTTGACGGAGTTTTACAAAGCACATGAGATTTTTGAACAAGATTGTCTTAGCCAGGATTTTTGTGTCTTGTTTTAAACTGTATGAAATTTTGGTGGAACCTGTTTTCTCATTACCTAAGACTTGAGTTCCTCCTGTGGGCTAAGGAGTTTTCCAAATTGATATATGTGTTCCAGTTTCAGAGTTAAAGGTAAGAAAATGCAGCTGCAGCTGCGGTCGACGTCAGGCTGTTAGCTCACCTTAGCATCAGGGAGACAGGACCGTACAAACTGAGCCAGTGTGCAGGGTTACTCAGGCAGACGTCAGAACCACATTAGAGTCACATTATCCATGGCACAGTCCTGTTCTCTGGAAAGCCTGTTTTTCTCTGACCTCATTAGATTGCAGAGCTTCCTATGCAGGAAGAATTTTGTCCAAAGAGGAGGTGTTTCATATTTATGTGAATGTCTCATCCAGTTAGGATCCTGCTGACTTTCATGATAAACAATGACTGTGTGTGTGAGCGTGTGAGAGCATATGTGTGTATTTACTCATTACTGGACGTCAGGGCCTCGCACATGGTGCCTGGCGAATATTAAGGCCACAGTGATGATTTGATACATAAATAAATGAATATATGTTTATTTTTTATTGTATTTGAGTGACCAACTCAGAGAATGAACTTGTCTTGTTTTCTCTGCATTAGTTGGCATTATATGTTCTACATTTATTTATACTCTTTTGCATTTCAAAATAAAATTTTAGGTAGCGGTTTCTGGGAATGAAGAATGAATCTGATTATTAGTGTAATAACATCACGAATTAAAATATTGCCTCCTTTTCTTCATCACAAGTATGATTAAATTGGCTTTGTTTTATATTTGTAAATTTCATAATCTCTACAGAAAAAGGGCAGTCCCAAGCACAGGGAAGTGAGCTGACTTTCCCATATTTCAAATGGAACGTTAATAATTGAGTCTAAGATGTTGAGCCCTGAGTCACTGCCCTCTCTACCCACAGTGCAGTTGAGAACCAGCTTCTGACTATGTAGAATTGGAGGGTATGGTCCAGTGAGTAAACCTAAATTCACACCTTGCTCACCAGATGAATGGTGGGTGAGTCATTCTTCTTCCCATCTTGATTTTACAGATTTTGTGAGTATTTTGATATGGATAGCCGTATTTGGTACTTAGTTTTGAAGAATATAAGTTTAATGACTCTATTGTAACTGTGTTTAACCATGCACTGATATTTGGTAAGATAACTTAAACATTAAAATTTGACATTGACATTATGTGAGACTCACATATAATAATTTTATTTAATATACTTTCTTGCACTGATTATTATCATCTTATGTTTATTGACACCACAATAAATATAAATAAATACTACAGAGAGTTATGGGTAACACGTGAAACATGATCAGAAAGAGCCTTCACCTAGCCACTTAGAAAATACCATAAATTATATTTAAGGCTCCTTCTTTTTATTCACTCAGACAGAGACAAGGGAGAAGTCCCATGCTCTTGTGTACAACCCGTAGATTGGTGTTTGGTCATCTTTGGTAATTGGCTTGAATTTTCTAGGTCTATTAAGATTGATAATTATAGTGGTCATTTGATAGTTTGGATTAACATAATCTGAGCTATGCAGAAGGAAGCATTTCACTTTAAAATGTGTCAAACATGTCAATATCCTTCAGTAATAGGCACATTTCAATCTCCAAAAGCACATAAAAATGGTAATCTGTTTTTCAATTTGTATGTATTATTTAGTAGCGATGACACTTAACAAGTGTCAAAATACAGTGCAATTTCGAAGACATAATTTTAAATTCCATTTCTAAATTAAAAGGATTAGTGAAATGGAGCCTCAAACACCCTTTTTCATATCAAACGATAACTTTCATGTAAAAATATATATCTGTGATACCAGATATTCCAATTTATGTTAAATTAGTTGGTTACCTATATCATTGTCAGCATATTTTATTATTCCATCAAGAATTTGGCAAAATATTTCAACCATCTCGAATCTAAAAGTTTCGGTTTTACCTCTGCACTTTACTTTGTAAAGTCTCTTTCCTTTCATGTGTTCAGGTCCGCTCTGCCAGGCGGAGCTGGGACCAGGGGGCGGCAAGCAGAGCAGAGAGCTCTGAGAGTGAGACCTCGCGTTTTGCAACTCAGATGCCTTGCTCACTTGTCTCATCCCAGTCCTAATCCTGCAACAGGGTATAAAAATAAAGCAAACATAGAGACTCTGGATGTCAAAGTTCATTCAAAGTCATGACTGCCACTGGGTTGTCCCTTTTCCTGCTTCACTGAGGAGAGACAAGCATTGGGACCAATCAAAAGAGGAACGATTGTAAGGAAATGGAACTAAGGGACCTTTTCCTAGAAACAAAAGGGAACTCGTGGGAGCCTGTCCCATTAAGGACAGAGGTCACTCCACCAGCTGTCATTAATTCACAGCAGCAGCTGGGAGTGAGCAGTGAGTTGATGACCTTGTGAAATGACTGAAACAGAATATATATTAAAGGAAGTTTTATTACTTCAATTATATTGTGTTAAGTAAAGTACTCCTAAGTAAACATTTAAAATGTTCTAAACATAAGTAATTTAATGAATAAAATTATTTTTCATAACTCTAGTTTTAAAATTTTCTGATTCTGGATCAGATTTGTTTACTTAAGGAAGCCATTAAAATTTTCCAGATAACATTATTTTTAGCTTTATACTTAAAGACACGTGGTATGTATCTAAATTTAGAAAGATAAAATTATTGAGGTTTCACTAAAACCAAGTTAATCTCTTTTCAAGGGCACATGTCTAATGTGTAATAATCATTTGTGGACAGCGGAATAAGTATAAAATTAGTAAAGAATAAGCTTTTAGAATTTCACTCATTAGTGAGCTTTTTGGTGTTTTCCCATTTTTTTCTGCCTTGAACATTTCTGTCATTACACAGTGTTTTCATGTGATGTTAGAATAAATATGGATGGATAAGGCAATATCATGAAGATTTCTAACGTGAGAGCTCTTGTACTTATTTGTCAGGTGTTCCAAATAAGAGCTCGAAAAGTGTCAATAAAATAAACTTCCAAAGGCATATAAGATATCTAGACTTTTACTGCAGGAATCATAAACACTAAATTGCTATGTGCCTTAACCCTCCTTCCCCACCTATCACATATGCTAAAAGTGACAAAAGCAAACCATTATGAGGTTCAGATTGAAATTTGAATTATTTTCTCTATATTCATTGCCTTAATTAACTTATTATTTTTCTCTTTTCTTAGGATCTGAGCAGCAAAGATATGAAGAGAGATTTGTATATAGTTGCCCATGTGATACGAATAGGTACTGTCCACCTTATCCATTCACATGACTAAGACCAACCCAACTTGGGATGAGTATCTACTGTGTGTGAGCTTGTTCTTCTCCCCAGCCCTTTGGCATTAGATTCCAGATCGCATTCGAGCTCTACCTTAGTAAGCTCAGCTGCTCTGGTAGCTGAATTGGATATAAATAAATACATTTTTTCACTTGAAATCTTCTGCTCCCTATTTGGTTTTGGACCCAAACTCTTTATTTCAAACGGTCTGCTTTTGGCATTCTCTTCATCACAAGTGCCCTGTCTCTCTATCAGCCCTCTGCCACAGAGACCTTATAGCAGGTGGCTGTCGTCACCGACCTAACAGGTGGTGAACGCCCTTTGCTGTGTTTTGTACTCAGAAGTATATATCTGCGCAATTTCCCACACTTAGAGTTATTGTTCTTACTGCAGTAGATGGATGGCATCTCATTTTTCCTCACCCAAGATGAAAAGGGGATTTTTGCTAATGTTCTGTGGAGGTTTGCCTAGCCTTATTTCAAGTTTATGATATAATTTGGGGGGCTGTGACTACCCAAGTCTTCCTTCTTAGGTTTGGATTCTGGCAGATGTTCCACATTTTTCAAAGAGGATGTTCTAATCCTTTGCCAACAAAACAGCTTTTCCCTTTCTTTCATTTTTTGTTTTGCTTTACTTCATAAAGCATTTGTCGAGGCTCCAGTTTTGCATTGGGAAGTCCTCTTGCCACTGTAGGCACAGCCTTGGGAAACGGGGAGAGTGAGGTCCCGTCCACTTCTGGAGATGGCTCTCGCTCCCGTAGTGGTATATGAGCAGCTTGGACAGCAGGATTTGGTTGGAAGAGTAACACATTGTCCTCCTTATCTGTGCATACATACTTTTTACCTGGCAGCTAAAATACTAAACTTTGTATCCTTACTACGCCTATGAAGTTTAAATCTATTAGCACACTGGTTTTTCTAAGAAATTCACGAAACTACTATTTTATTCTCATATGATTAACGAATGGACCTTCGTGTTGAGGTGGGTCATAAGGATGACTGATGGAGGGTGATGCGGGGGAAGAGCCCTGGCCAGAGGCCTGTTTGGCCTTCCTCCACGTGGAGATCCTTGCGTCCTCGGATGGCTCCATTCAGTCCTAAGTTAGTCTTCCAATTTGGAGCATCTCTAAGTTGCCTATAGCTCTAGCTTCCTTGGATGATAATCAGGGATGCTGGAGAGGAGCATGGAGTTCTCGGTCTGACTGGTGTTTCCTGCTGTGCCGTAGGCCGGATGCTCCTCAATGACTCAAAGAAGGGCCCTGCTCACCTGCATTACCGACGACCATACGGCTGTGCGGTCCTAAGCATCCTGGATGTCCTACAGTCTCTCACAGAATTGAAGGAAGAAAAGGATTTTGTTCTTAAGGTTTACACGTGAGTAATGGACATCAGAAATTTTAGTGATTTGTAGTATAAGACATTGCAGCACTGTCCTCAAGAGCAGCATTTATCAAGCTTTGTGGGACACAGAATCATTGGGATATGTGGGATTTTTTTGAAAATGCAGATTTTGATCTAGGTTTGGGATGGGATTCAGGCAGCTATATTTCTGATAATTTCCCCTGGTGATTCTGAAGCAGCTGCATTTGGAACCTTTTGTTCTAAAGTAACATCCTGGTAGTACACATTTCCTCTTCTAGCCAGGGTTAACTAATCTTATTATATATTTACAGAAAAGCCAATAATGTAATTTCTCATGTGTTTTGAATATGAGCGTCTTCTGTATCTAATGCTTGCCCACCAGCTATCGTAACTGAGCTGACTCCCAATGCAGATTGCTTCGAAGAGTGAGCACGAGTCACGTTGCCCTCTCTTTGAAGAAAAGCCCGTTTTTCTGAGGAGCTGAGGTTTCACTCTTCACTTCTGCCACCATGATCTATAAGTCGCATCCAGCTAGGCAGGTGTTATTTTTGGTGTTCATTGGGCAAGGGACCTGCCTTGCAGAAGCAGTGCCTCTCCTCCTCACTCTTGTTAAGCAGTAGAAAAAAGAAATGAGGAAAAAAAGAAACAAAATCCAGGCTTAGTGTCCATCTTTGTTTCTAGAGACTTAGGTGTGAATAGTGGCAGTGAAAACATGATCAATGGTGAGTTTGGAGAGTTTTTAAATAAAGCAAGTGTCTTTCTGTGAGAATATGTTTTTTAATCTGTCCTCTTTTGTTTTTAACCCAATATCGTGTTTTCAAATTAAATCTAATACTGTCAATCACTATGTTAATATATCCTCACTACAATATTATATGGATATATTTCTGTATATTCTATCTGATTCAGGCATGAAATGAACTTAATTCACAATTATACTTACCTTGGGCCTCTGTATAATCAACCACATTTTATTAATTTAAAAATAATAGCCTATATCTTCTTATTATCCATTTTGCCTTAAGCTCTGTTCATAGTTCCATACTTAATAGAATGAGGATCTTCCTTTGGAAATAGTAACTTACAAAGGAAATTTCTGTGGATTTTCTCTTCCCTTTATGCGTCAGTCAGACTTTCTCCAACTACCAGATCTCTTCACTGTTGGATGGTAGGGCCAGCTTCTTGATACACCTTCCTCATTTTGAAAAAAACTAAGCAGAAATCCAAACTCATCATCATCTTACTTCACTCTGTCCTTTCCAAGGGCAAGAGCTTTATAGATAGCACTCAAGATTTGTATCTCTTTGCATGTATCACCTGTTCCTTGCTTCAGTGCAAATTCTCATTGTGGATAGGGGCCCGCACAGCATCCCTCTTGAAATCATGCTGTCAGGCTTAATTGGCCTAATTGCTTCTAAAACAACAGCTTTCAGTACCAACGTGTCACTTTGCAAGTAATGGGATTCGTGTGTAGCTTTTTCTTAGCTTTTTCCTATGAGCCGTGTCTAATATATCAGTTCTAGAAAGCCAAAGAACACTGTTTTTATAGAGAAAATAGTTTAAAATAAATTTTTTGAAGGACTAATAGAGTTAAAATGTAGGATAATTTTTCCACTTGAAAATATTAACAGACTTTCAAACAGATTTCCAACTACATGTTTGTGAAATCGCATTTCCGTGCAGTATGGAATTCCTCTAGGATTAGTGTTTTAAATCCACATCAGCACAGTGAACCTAGCCCTCAGGAGAAGCAGTATTTTCCAGTAAGTTTCAGGGGACATGTTTGTTAGATTGAAATGGAGGCTTAATATATTTACTAATTGCTACTGATAACGCTTTTGCCTTTGCTAGGGCAGGATTTTGCAAGGATAAAACCCTCTTGTATAGCTTTAGTCAGTGAATTGGCAAAATATCTTATTAGTTGTTGACATTCTCATCATTTCTTCCATCATTCAGAATCAGCCTCAAATAGAGAAGATTCAAGCTTCTGTATTTTTCTTGCCATGGCCACCGCTCTGGCTTTATAGATGCCATTTAATATCGTGTGTGTATGGGAAGGCAGCACATTCCTTTTAAGACAATTTCAGCAAGAAGCCGAGGCATGAAAAGTAGGTTGCTTCCTAATGAGCCAAAAGCCTTAAAAATCGCAAATAAATAGCGAGTATGTGTAGTTCAGTCTGGGATAGATGTGTCTTCTTGGCAGGAGTCACAAGCAGGCCCAGGGCTTGTTGAACCTGGAGCCTAGGACATGAAAGGAGAGGAATGCCAGGGAGCTAGAACTACCGTGGGCTGGAGTGGAGGGGTGTCCCAAATCACGCACGCAACGAAATACAGGATGTTTCCGAGCCATGTGATGCCCGTTCTCCAACGTCACGAGAAAGTGCAAAGAAACATTTTTAGGCCAAGTCTAATGAAATAGATGACTACTTTGAAATTTAAATTTATCACTTTAGTTATATTTTAAATCATATTGTAGAAAATGTGAATTACCCATTATTTACTTAATCAGATGTTATATAAAACGGTGAAAAAGAGTGCTTTTCCCCCACTCTCACATGTTATGAGAAGATTTTATCCAAATTCTTCATATGCCATCATGCCATCAGGTCTTTGTCATCACTTAAGCCACTTTCTGAGTCATCTTGGCACAGTTTTCCAAGGTACATGATTTTCACTTTCATCAGCTTGGCTTTGACACATCACTATTTGGATCCTTGATAATGCTTTCACTGGAAATTCACCTTAAGGCCCAACTGCCTTTTTGTCAAACATCTGGACATTTGATGTTTCTGTGTTTTCATTTGTCCCCAAGGCCCATATATGTGACCTTAATGTTTCGGCTACTTACTATGCAGCTTTTTAAGGTGAGTTTTAGAATAACATCCAGCACTTCAATTTGGAAGTCGCACCCAAGGATAATTACTAAACCTGTGTAGTTTTGCTCTTTAAGAAAATTTTTTAACCAATCTGTCAGATAAACTTTGTAAGCATCTGAAACTCTCATTTCTTGAGGTTATTTCAGGCTAATGTGACTTACCCAAATAGTGCTATGATATTCAAAATAAAGGGATGCAGAGAATGCCCCATACATGGAAGGCTCTGTGAGGATGGAAACACAAGGTGGCAACATCTTCTGTAAGTGATGACTGGAAGGGAAGCGCTCCTACTTGGCGGTAGACACAGGCCTTTCCTTGGAACACTGCCTTCAAGATCAAGATCTTTGTTACATAGCCATCTCATCTGGGAAACTGCCTTAAGTTGAGAGTACTGGTTTAGGAGCTATTCTTATGAGAACTCATTCTTGAGCAGGTAGAGGGCCATTCGACCATCTTTATTTTGGTACAGAGAAGAGAATGCCCAGGTCTTTTTATATATATAACTTTAAATGAAAATACTTCTTTTCACTTGCAGGTCAGGTAAGGAAGTAGCTCCTATTTCTCTTTTCTGGCCTAGGACTTCCCAATTTTCCATAGATCATCACCCACCCAGGACCATTATCAGTTGTTCAGGTGTATTTTTGAGCATCTGCACCAAATATTTGCTCAGGCCACACAAGGAAGACTCAAATGCAGTAGGTCTGTGCACATGGAACTGCTCTGTTTTGACTTTCAGTGCCCACTGTCTCTAGCATCAGTGCCCAGTCGGCTCTGTTCACGTGTTAGTGCCGCTACAAAACAGAACTCATTAAGTAATGAGCCAGCGTAAAGAAAGTCAGCTCAGGGTGACTCCTGTTCGTGCAGAGGTGCGAGGCTCATGACCGGAGTCGCTGACATGGCTCTAAGTGTCGGCACACGAGGTCCCAGGTGTTCTCTGCCACAGGATTGGACCACATCCGTGTTCTCTGCCCCTTCGTTTCTGTTCTGCTGCTGCTCCAGGAAGAGTGAGGTGAAAGAACGGTGGCCCTACGGGTGACAGACGCAGAGCTGCCTTCATGAGACAACTTTGTTAGCCAACTTACAAATACGCCAGTAGCATGGATGGTCCCAGCTTGTTTTTTTAAAATAGGTAATTTTTTATCTATTAGATAGATCAGTAAGATGATAGGTAGATAGAAGCTGTGAACTTTGGAAAAATCACCCTGATTTCCTGAACTTCAGTTTTCATCTGCAAAATAGAAAAAAAAGAATGAGGTAATCTAAGAAAGAGACAAAAAGAGTCCATATGAACTAGTAAATCAACAGGAAAGAGGTGGAAAAATAAATGTGAAGACCAGTGGTATGGGAAATGAGATACACTCAAATAATCGGCATACCATCTAATACAGCGGTCCCCAACCTTTTTTGACACCAAGGACTGGTACTCTTATGAGACTCTAATGCCCATGGATCTGAGATGGAGCTGAGGCGGTGATGCTGGCGCTGGGGAGCAGCCGCAAATACAGATGAAGCTTCGCTCACCTGCCCGCCGCTCACCTGCTACTGTGTGGCATCGTTCCTAACAGGCCACTGACCTGTACCAGAATGCGGCCCAGGAGTTGGGGACACCTGTCCTAGATCACCAGGGAATATGATCCTCCCAGCTCTAAACTAATTTTCTGTCCAGTAAACAGAATATATCTTTTCCAGTGCCCATGGAACATTTACAGAAATTACTTGTAGAAAATATTCCATAAATTCTACAAGGCATAAGTCACACTCTCTGATCACAGTGCAATTAGCATATGATACATAATATTAGTCATGGGGGGTGGGGACCATACAATCCTGATATCGAAAAAGATACCTGACAAAGGTCAGCCTTCACCCCAATTATTTAACAATGTCAGCTTAGTACTAAGAATAAAATGCTGTTTGTTGTAGTTTGGTTTAGTTAAGATGACAGTAGATTGCTTCTGAGACCAGAATGTTAAGCAGGTATAGGTAAAAATGGATATACGGTATAGAGTGGTGGAGATCTAAATTTATGATGTGTATATATGTGAGGAGTATATATAAACGTGTCACCTTTATTACCAAAAAAACTTAAATTTGAGATCATGTTTAGATCTATGAGGCACATGAACTTGTATATTTATTTCCTGTGACTACTGTAACAGATTACTGCAAATGCGGTGGTTTAAAACAACAGAAATTTATTTCCCCCTTCTGGAGGCCAGAAGTCAAGATGCCAGGAGAACAACATTCCTTCTGGAAGCTCTAGAGTAAAATATGCTCTTTATATTACTTAGCATGCCTTGGCTTGGGGCTTGGTCACACCACTCTCTTCTGGTCACGTTGCTTTCTCGTCTTCTGTCTCTTCTGTCTTAAATCTCCCTTCGCCTTTCTCTAAGGACATTCGTCATTGAACTTAGGCTCATCCAGATAATCCAGGATGATTGTCTCATCTCAAGACTCTTAATGACACTTGCAAAGATCCTTTTTCCAAGTCAGGTCACGTTCGCAGGTTCCAGGGATTAGGACATGGACATGTCTTAGGGGGGGCACCATTCAGCCCACTATAGCCGTGACTGACGTGAACCCTGAATTAGAAAGGTTTTAAGGTCACCATCAGCGTAGAGCCTGGTGTTGCAGAGGTCGTGTGCTCTCTGCAAACAGGTTGGTCCCCAGAGAAAGAAGAGGGAGACCTTGAGGTGTTCATGCCCGGCCCTTCACCTGGATGCACTGGCCAAAGGAGTGACTCCTCCCAGGAAGTGATAGGAGACGCATAACTGTCTCTCCCAGAAGAAATGCTTTTACCACTTGGAAAGAGAAGGAGTAAAAATAAGGATTCCTGCTAAAGCTCTATAATTATATATATGCCATTTGTCTCTCTTTCGAATTTTTCCATCTTACGTATAAGTTGTAAAATAAAAATGGCTTACATTTTTTCATAAATAAAAAGACAGTATCTCTTGGACCATCATCACAATGAATCAGATTGGTTGATTTATGTCAGCTTGGTTTCAAAGACTGTTCAGTTGGGCCATTTGTAAAGAAATGTGTGCTGTTTTTCTTCATCCCTCTTGATGTTACTCTGTCTTGCCCTGCAAGTAAGGACTGCGTGAACCTGCACGAACGTAGTCAGCGTAAGTAGGGCTCCTAGATCTGTAGGCTCTTGCCTGTTTTCTAGCTTATTAGGACTTTCGGTCAAATAAAGGCCAAAATAAAGCAGGTCACACCCAAAGAGAAAGAATTTTAATATGCAGTATTTGCACTAAATTAAGTTTTGAGCCAGAGTCAAGACAGCAATAGCAGTTAGGTGAAATGAGACAAAATGGGCATGCTGGTTGATGTCAGGGAGACATCCTCAGCCTGGTGCAGGAGCAGGATGTTTTGGGTTACTGTCCTCTGCGGCCTCCCTCTCTCCCCTCCCCCTCCCTGCTTTCGGGACCAGGCAGATGTATGTTTCAACTCCAGCTCCACCTCACTCTCCTCATCTGTAAAATGAACGTGATAATACCTATCATAGGGTTATGAGAATTAAGTGAAAGAAAATATGGGAAAATACCCCAATCGTTACCTACCTATAGTAGGCACCCTTCTAAAAATGCAAACTCAAAGGTCTTACAGTTAACCCTTTAACATTTCTTAAATACTTTTAGGGATCGCCCACTTTGGGAAAAGATGAGAAGGTGGGGGAATACCCATCAGAAACACAGAGGTCAAGATGAGGTATTAAGAAGTACAAATCGGTAGTTAGGAAATAGTCACGGGGACATGACGTACAGCCCAGGGAATATGGTCGGTAATATCGTAACAGCTCCCGATGGCGTCAGCTGGACACCAGGCTTATCAGGGGATCACTTCGTAAATTATGTAAACGTCTAACCACTGTGCTGTACACCTGAAACTAATATAAAATAATACTGAACGTCAACTGTAATTGAAAATTTTTTAAATAATTAAAAAATAAGAAGATAAGGAGATAGTACTTGAGTAATGTACTAATGTAATGTACACAGCATGAGAAATGTTGTGATTCTCTTTTTTGAGCAGAACCTGCTCTTGTGGTTCTGAATGCCTGGAGCTCCACGGAGAAAACCAAACCCTCTTGCCCTGTCGTATTCCTTGAGTAAAGTCCCTGGACACGTGGTGGTGGTGGACGTACCGCTCCATCGCCTGCGCTCACCTCTGTGTGGGGCTGGGTTGCCGCAGAGGCACACACACCTGTTTAGATCACGAGCTCTCGTGGGCCTGATGATTGAGAACAAACTATCGACATCAGTAATCACACTCTAAATATTAATTTGCTTGTATATAACAATCATGCCTCATTATAATCACAACTCATTTGATTATTTAATAAATGCTTACATTTATCATTTTTCCTTATAAAATATCCTAGCGATTGGTTAAAATATGCTGATGATACAGCCTCCACTTAGTTTCAGATGATTTGAGTAGCTCCTCCTGGCATTCTGGAAAGGGCGATGTTTGAAAGGCCAGATGGGAGGCAATTACACTGGTCCAGAGGAGAGCCGATCATGGCTGAACCAAGGCCATGAAGACAGGTCAGATATGACAGATTTTAAGATAGAAAAATCTCCAGAACATGCTGACAGCTGGAAGGGTTCTGGTTTAGTGAACAAGTGGGTGCCGCTCAGTGAGAGGGAGTCTCTGGGAGCAGACGGGTTGGGGGGAGATGACAGCAGCTCTCTTGTAGCCATGTATGTCAGGAGATTAGGGATGAGTCTGGGCTGGAGACACTGCTTCGCAGCTTGGCAGCTTCTGGCGGTGGTCGAAACTGTAGGAGTAGGTGGGGTTGCCCAGGAAAGCTAGTAGATAAGAAGGAAGTGGGCTGAAGGTAGAGCCATGAAGGCCACTGTATAATAAGGGGTGTGCAGTGGGAGAGCAGTGACAGGGACGAGCCGTCCATCGTCTGGCATCTGACTTGTGTGTGTCTTGGCTGGAAGGGTACATGTGAGTGAAATAACGCACGATGTGGTCAACGAAGCACTGCATCTGTGCTGCCAAGGAACCAGTGAGGACTAAAATGACACCGTCTGTTGGAGGGAGGGAGTTAATTTTCAAGACTCTTCTTTTGAAATGAGAGGGGCGACTATGTTATTTATGACAAACTGTAGTCAGATCTCAATTAAAGAAAGTAACTACTGAGCTTGTAAATCTAGAAAGTGACAAAAAAAAAACCCAAAACCTGACAGACAAGTCCTTGAATCCTCACTGGCTGGGTGCTTCTCCGAAGTATTGACTGCTCGGAAGAGACGAGACAGTGCACGTCAGACGGGAAGGGCTGGATACGCCGCTGCCAGCACCTCTCACTTTTCCTTTCCAACTGAGTTGCTAAGTCATAAGTGATCATTTTAACGAATGATCTTCCCTTCCTTTGGAAGGAATTCTTCCTCACAAGTGGGAAGTTATCCACACAGCTCTGGACTCTGAGAACCTCATCTTCGACAATTCTTAGCGACACCTCTGAGCAGGTGAGGTTTACTAGTCCTGATCGAGGAGTGTGAAGAGCCTCTGGTTGAGTAACAGAAGTAAACTGTGACCAACGTCCATCTCTGAATGGCTCTACACGCACTCTTTTTCTTAGAAACCTGTTGTCCTTGCCACTGCTCGGTGGCACATGGCACTGCTCTTACTGAGGTTTCCTCTTGGGAGCAGCTGTACCGGACCACACATTTCTGAGTAACCATGGAAAGGTCCTATGGGTTTTTCTTTGTGCGTGGGGTCATTGGGTCCATACCTCCCTATCCAGTAGGGGGAGGGGTGGGGCCAGGGCACTGGGGACTGCCAGTGTCATGTGGCGTTTTCAAGAGGTGACCATAACCTCATTCCAGTTGTTTCATTGAGGTATCTACATCACGGGGCGGAATTCCGAGTCTCTAGGCCATACCAAGTGGTTGTGTGTTCGCAGCCCTTGGAATTGCCCTTCAGGGGGCAAGACCCTAAAATGTCATAAATTAACCGAGGTGCAGTGTTGTTCCTTCATTCTTTCTTGTCCCAATCCCAGAGTCCCTAGGAAAGACATTTATTCTGAGATATTTAGGCCTCCAGACTTCTCTGCTAAGTCCTCTTTCCCAACTGCAGAGGATTTCACAGTGAAGCAAACCCACTAACCTCCCAAACTTTTCTTTTTATTTCGGTCTGGCCGAAGCACACCCACAAGCGAATATCCACATTGTCCTGAGCTTAGCAGGATTTTCCTCTGTAGCCAATATGATGACAGCTAAATAACAGAATAAAGCCAGCACCAGGCATGGCGCTTTCGAAAGATAGGACTTGTCAAGAGGAACTCTTCTCTTCCTCCATCAGGAACTTTCCTCTGGAGCCTCGTTTTTTGTTGTTTGTTTCGTGTGCGCTCATGTGTGTAAGGAACTAGAAAAGAAAAAAGCGTCAGGTGGGAGAGCACTACTTCAGGGAAGAGGACATTTAGCCACTTAAAAGGTATCTGTAGAGATTCATTTTAGAGTTTCTGTTCTTTCCCAAAGTGTGGGTCTTCTGTGTGCCTTAACAGAAAATGAGCCTTGTCTAATTTAGGGGACTATACATTCATTTCTTTTAGGAAGCGAGTTGGAAGTTCCAGATGGGTAAGACCCTCGGGAGTCGTCACGCCTGTCCTTCTGTTGCAGGTGCAACAACGAGAGCGAGTGGTCCCAGACCCACGAGAACATCATCCGCAAGTCCAGCGCCAAGTATTCCGCCCCCAGTGCCAGCCACGGTGACGCACTTCTCTGGCTAGACAGCTTTGTGTTGCATCTGCGGTGCTGATCGCACACCTCACTCGATCTGTGCCGATCAGTTGCCGCATGTAACGTTCAGTTCCCTGCAGACATGTCTCCCACCCGGCCACTCTCTACTGTTTCTTTTTGTGATAATTCGAGATCTTCCGTAATTACTTCCAACCAAAATAACGTTTTCTGTTCTTTCTATGATGTGTTCCATGCGCTTTGATAGATATAACTCGAGTTCCAATTTAAATCCAGAGTGAACAGAAAAATTGCAGGGTCTGTCACGTTGTGAAGTCTGTGTTTTCCTGAATAAGATACACACCCAGCCCCCCAAGAGAGACAAATATTAATATTACTTTTTCTATTCCTGTCCCCAGGAAAGCCTGACACTTAACAAGATTCAGTGACTAGTCTGCCAGTATCATTCCAGAGCTAGAATAAAAGATCTTTATTTCAAAGCAGCTTTCACCTTAGCTCAACTTCTTTTCCTTTTCATTCCCTTTCTTTTAAAACTCTGTTTAAATAATTTCTGTCTAAATCTTGGTGCAGTTCTACACATTAGAAAGATTGTTTTCTAAATCGAATATTAATTGCTTGATTAAATTAGAAACACTATTTAAGAGCCTATGAACTTTTATACACCCTTGAAAATAGCTCTCGGATTTACATTGAATCATGTTTTTCCTGACAATTTTTCCCTTTAAATTATTTCATAATCTCCTTTACGTAACTTCTTTGTTTTAACTCTCATAGACTTGTTGTAAACAAAAAGTTGGCCCTAAATGACAGTGTAGAGCCACTGCAAGGCATGGCAGTTTCCAGCGTTGTGGAGATGAACTTTTTATCCTCTCTCGGCATCGGCAGATACTCACCTAGGAGGGTCCTCAGAGCAGCTACACACCAGGGGTTGCAAAGTTTGAGACCCTCGGCTGGGAGCACCTCATTCCTCTCAAACTCCGTAGCATGGGGGTCCACAGGCCTCTCACTATTTTTAAGCGACTGCTGTTTTCCTTATGGATGTGCCTGGTTGCCAGGGAGCTCCATGCGGTGTGCCTGGAGCGGGAAGGGAGTCCATATTCCTCTCCTAAAACTAGGCGACAGCAAGAAGCAAATGGAATCTTGTTTTTAAAGTATAGAAAAATTACTAGCAATTTGGAAAACTACCATCCGCATCAGTATTCATAGCGTTCTTCGCTTTATTTATTTACTTGATTTATAAAGAGCTGCCCTTGGCTACAAGTTCTTGGGACGTGATGTAATTAAAACATTGAGAACATTTTAAAAGCGAGGTGGTAATAATACATTAAAAGAAACAATGGAAAGAGAGGTTTCTGCCATCACCTCACCATTCTTAACTCTGCAGTCTGCTTGTTACTTGTCTCCATTCTAGCCATCACCCTTCTGATTGTCCTAGTTACCATAGTACCTTCCCTAAGTCCTAGATGTTCACTTTCTGCTCCACTCCCAAGTTTCTAGACCAATGACTGCTTCCCACTGACCTATAGATCAGCACCTAAGTTCCTCATCCTGTAACAGGTCATCTCATTAGAGGCACTTCCCAACTCCATGTAGACTTGACCTCGCAGCCTTCTAGCCGTTGGCTGCAGTGGGGACCCTTGAGGACAAGAGAGAGGGTGTGTCCCAGGAGATTCTTACTTTGTGCAGAACTCCTAGGGTACGAGTAATGAGCCAGAAGCCAGATCACCTTGGGTACATCACAGATTCTCCCAAATTCTGAACAAAGCCCCTGGGATCATCTGGAGGGTCTGAAACCCAGAGTCTGAGACAGGGCGGGGTGTGGTTCTGAGGAAGAAAATGCTTTTGTTTCTGCAGGTCTTATCATTTCTCTGCAGCTTCTTCGAGGAGACATGGAACAGATTCGGAGAGAAAACCCTATGATATTCAACAGGGGATTGGCGATTACAAGAAAATTGGGATTTCCTGATGTCATCATGCCAGGTAGGCAGAACTTCTTGGGGCTGCGGTGAGAGAAGGGTTAGGAACACAAGAGTCCAGTGCTCATCTCAGGAGCAGGTGCTAAACTGCCGTGGAGGACTCCTGCGGCCATTAAAAGCCTCTGCACCCGAAGTCAGTCCGCAGCCAGCAGCTCCTTCGGCTCTTGGTGATAGTTGTTCTTTTCCAGAAGCCCCTACATCACATTTACCAGTGCAATGTGACAACTCAGCAGCTGTGCTTTGCTGTCTCTGTGTGGGCTAGGTGGTAGCGACCAACAGGGAACTTCATGGGGATGCCTTTTCATACCCTTCTCTTCCGTTACGCTGCTTAGAAGAAGAGCATTAGCTCACAGAACTCCCTCTGGAAGGGGGAGAATACACCAAAGTAGGTGCCTGTAGTACTGATGAGCCCAGTCCGTTAGGAATAGCAGAGAATGGATTAGGCAAATGGTATAAATTAGGCACTGTGTCCGACCTGGCCAGTTTCTCAGGAACCGTCTCACCTTCCTCGTTGGATACCTGACGGAAAACCAGGGCAGGAGGTGGGAATGCACCGACTCCCAGTGTGGTTCCAGCACGTCCGTCCCAGGTTCACGTTTCCTAGTCAGGCAGATGCAGGCAAAGCTGGAGAAGCGAGTCCAGACGGGCTGTCATAGCCAGGGGGCTTTCGGGAGAAGGCAGGGCAGAGGGGTGGCTCAGATGGATGGTGAGTGATCTGACAACCCGAGAAGATGCGAACAAGGAGAGGAAATCAGAACAGACGAGCAGCTGATTATCTGGATGGATGGCAGGGGCGTGAGCCCAGCCCGTCCACTGAGTTTCAGTGCTCCGCTAATAGCTTACTCGCCTTTGTTGAGAAGGGCCGCGCCAGGCTAGGCTGAACTGATTGTGCCCACCCTGCAAACCACCTGCGGGGGGGTTCTTCACGGTGCTCTAAACCCTCTTGTTGGAAATATTTGCCAGCACACACCCAAAGGGAAGCGTGGCCTGAGCATAGAGAAGGCCCGTGTGACGCATTCTGACTGCCCTCCGGCTTCCCGCACTATGCGCAGTCTTGTCTTCTGTGGCCTTCGGTACCTCTCCGTAGATGCTGCATTCAGAGCAAGCTGCTGGGGACAGCCTTCCTCGCCTGCTCGTGTACACAGGACCGCCTAAGCGGTTCCACGCTTATCTTTAAATGCTAAGGAGACTTTATGCTTACGAAAGCTCCCGTCTGCTGTCAACGCAACACCCTTCACAGGACCTTTCTTCCACCGTGTCCTCGCACTGATCCTCAGCCCTCTGTGGCTCTGGTTACCAGGAGGAGGCCAGGTGTAGGCCCTGGCTTCGTGTCATGGAAGAAAGCATAGGTGGTTACCGGAATTCATCTGGTGATCTTTTTTTAATTAGATAGCCAGGCTCATGAGGTGGCCTCATATACTCTAAGAGATGTATTTTAAATCCTTCCTTTCTTTTAAGAATTTGTTTCTCTATGATTTGGATATTTCCTTTCTATTGGCCTTCACACAGTCATGGAGTTAAAACCAAGTGAGCAGAGAGAAAGGAGCAAGCTTCAGTCAAAAATATTTTTAAGCAAACTTCGATTTCAAGAGTTACACTGTCCAGACCTGGTCTGTGGGACGAGACCTTTTCGTGGCCACCACATCTCCCTGTGTCATTAGCAGACAGGCTTATGAAGGACCGCTGCGTACACTAGACGTCATCGTGGAAGTCAGCCGCATTGGGCATTGGTGAGGCAAGCTGAGCTTAGGGGGCATGCCCTCCCCTGGGGAGCTAAGGGATCGTTGTGTGATTTGCCCCACGAGGCCAAGACATTTACAGTCCTGGGAGGTCCCAGCTGCGGCAGCGAGTATGCTGCTGCCTTCGAGTGCTGAAGCCGAAAGCGAGGTCTGGTTCTCGGGCAAGAAGCAGTCCTTTGTGCAGAATCTGTCTCCTCCTCTATCTGAGCTCTTTGCACAGATGGCCACTCAGAGTTGTGAGCTGACAATTGACAGCCCCCTAAATGCACCCCAAGATACCATCAGAGTGGGTTTGCTATCCTTGGGCGAGGTGACAGGCCTGGCCTGCAGGTCCTGCTGGAGCGGCAGGGCAAGTGTGCAAGACTTTTACACTGTGGTCAGCCTATCTTGGGAAACCATGACTGTGGCAGGAAGTCCAGTGAGACTCCCGGCCCTGGCCACCTGTCTACCTGTAGCTGGTCCACCCTTCACCTGTGGGAATATTGTATGTGGCTGCAGCCGTCCCTTAGCCCTCAAAGTGCTGGTGTGACCAAGTTGCAGCTTTTTCTTGACACATGGACATATGGGAAATGAACAAGGAAATTATGTCAGTAACTGCGAGCATTTCAACACTTAAGTCTGAGAAATTGGAGTAAATGTAAAAATTGGAATTACTCATAAACTGTGATCCTTTTTTTAAAACTACCCAGCATTTGGCAGAAACTACCAAACACTCATTTGGAGAGGTTTTTTTTCTTTTTTTTTGTCAGGATGGCCCTGGCAGGTCCTTGTCAAAGCATATTGACAGAACTTATAGCTCTGAGTTACAGAGCTGTGACCGCAGCTCCAGCGTTCAGACAGGCTCTAGCCACACCAGTATTCAACATAATATTTTAAAAGGTCTTTCTGATGGTCTCCTGTTGCTTTCCATGGGTGCATACGTACCTGCCACGTGATAGCTGTGAACAGGAGGTGGCCTGCTCTGTTCCGCAGCTAAGGTCCTTACTTCTAGATTAGTAGAACAAATAGATGTGGGAATATAAGACTAATTTTGAAACCGAGCACCCGTAGCCTTTTGTTGGTTTGTTATATTTCTGCAGATATTAACCCTCCAAACTCACTTCAGTTCAGGACAAAAGCCAATAACTGTGTAACACACTTTTACTCCTCTCAAGATGGGCAGGAAAGACTAGGGCCAGACAGGTGTTCCAGGTGAACAAGCTGAAGTTAACATCGTTCCTAGTGACTCACTTGTCAGAATTAGCTCAAATGAAACGTTAGAGAAGACGATCAGCCGAGAGATTGTCAACTAAAGGGGACAATTTAAAACCTCTTGCTTGAGAAGAGGCTGTACTGTCTCTAGACCATGTCCGAGGCAGCGGGGATGCGCTGCCGCCTCCCACAGCCCTCTCGAATCCTTAGCTTTCCCGCAAAGGCTGCTCCCTGGAGTCAGTGGCAATACAGAGTTCCGTCATGGCTCTGTGCAAATGACAACATTTTAACTTGTTTTCGAAGCCTTGAATTTTTTATGTCATCATTTACTGTGGGTGATATGGGCCAAGTTTCGTATTAGTTAAATGGTTTTCTATCTTGCCAGAAGAAATCTGCCCTTCGATTTAGTATGTTCTAGTCGATAACTAAATTTTTCCTGAAGCATGTTTGAATCGCAGTCACCCGCAGGGCTTGGGGAATCACAGACTGCTGGGCCCACCCCCAGAGTTTCTGATGCAGGAAGATTGAGGCGGGACCCTACGATTCGCATTTTCACAAGTTCTCAGGTGATGGTGATGCTGCTGGTTTGGGGCCCCCTCTGAGAACCGTGTCCTGGAGAGTACCCCGTTTTAGGGATGCTTTGCCCCTCTCTGAATCAGACCTGGCACAAGTCTCGCTCCCCTCCAGGTCTCCCCGAACTGGCCCATTAGAAGGCGGCAATGCAGGCATGGTGTCCCCGGAGGGGACCCTCTGATTCTTGCCCTCGTGCTCAGGGATACACTCAGTCCTTCGCTTTAACCCCTGGTAAAAAGTGCATGCTTCATCACCAACCTGCAAGTGACGTTTTATTCTCTTTTCCTGTTTGTCTTAATTGTTCTTGTTTCTCTCTGTGCTGTCCCCTCATTCTCGCCCCTTTCTTTCTGGTGCAGAGATGAAGATAGTTGGGTGTAAGTTCCTGCTTTTGTGTGTTCTGTCTGCTTTTTGCCTGCTTTGTTCCCATCTTCATTCGTTTCATGGAATGTTGCAATACTGGGGTGGGGTGTCATATACATTATTAATCCTTCATCAGCCTCACCTTTCGGGGTAACTGATAAGACATAAGAGAAGTTACCAGCTCGACCTAGAATACTGTTTTACTTTCGATGTTCATTAAGATCTGAGGAAGCTAAGGACACGTTGGAATGTTTTAAAAATCTGAACAACCGCTAGGTGTAAAGCTACAGGAAAAGATTTTTATGAGACAGATCAGCTACTCCCATGAAAAAAGAGAATGAGTAGGCTTATCCTAAGCTACAAAGAATCACAAAGGCAGAGAAAGCCTCTCTTTTCAACTCTGCTGGATACATACAAAGGGCAGACACACAGAGGTGTGACTTTTGAAAGAAAGCTGTCCTTAAGGGGAGTGAGGAATGTATTTATCACAGGTAGATTCATAGGACTGTGTTCAGTCTGCATATCAGATGAGGAGGCTTTGGCAGTACCTTTAAGGGATGATTTAAGAATGACCACATCTGGTCCCACAGCAGGTTGAAAGATCACATCCTTGGCCCAGGAAAAGAACAACCATACTGTGCCCATCCCTGTCATCCTGTTAGAGCAGAAAACATCGCTGACTTTGTAACAATAGAAACCAATAGACATGTGACACTGAAGACATGGTTGGAAAATAAAGAACCTGTCTTTCTCAGATAAGCTACAGAAGTCCTCCTAAGAGGAGTCGTCATCGTCGTCGTCATCATTTTTTTTTTTTTTTTTTGGTCTCTTCTTCAAAATAAGAACTACTACAAAATAAAACACTGCTTATATGCCTGCAACTGTCCAAGTTGTATGGTTGCTAACGTCCCTCCATCTCCACAAATGCTGTCAGGAGACTTCGCTCCTGCCCAGAAAGAATCAGTGCCACCCCAGCGGGCCACTGCGTCTGCTGGGAACAAGTCCTAGTTTTACATCGCTTTCAGGGAAAAGAGCATGATCCTCAGAAGCCCCTTCGAATCCTGTCCAGAAGTAGATGAGGTATAAATAATGTAGTATTAAATACTGTTAACCTTGAACCCAGAGCCTCCTAACATGTGGAGTGAGTAATTTATACAGAAGGAACATGAATGTAATAAAGAATCCAAACACGACGGAGCGGCCACACCTGTGCAGGCTGTCCTGGACTTCTCCTGGCACAGACTTCTGCTGAGACCGGAACCACATGGCTCCAGAACTTCCAGTAAGGCTGGAGAATCTGGCGAGAATGTTCCTAACAGATGCTTTGGTTCCTGAGCTGCGCCTCAGAGGTCCCGAAACCTCTCTGGAGACTTCCCTCAGGGAGACCCGCAGACACATGTGAGCTGCTTCTCCAGAGCATGCGGGTCCTCAGAGCCACTGAAGCATGCAGTACAGACACATGTGAGCTGCTTCTCCAGAGTCATACTAGCATGCGGGTCCTCAGAGCCACTGAAGCATGCAGTTTTCTGTCACTGCTGGACGCAACTCCGTCAACGTGTTCCCCAGCTCCCTAAGGTGTCCAGTAGCTGAAAAGCACGATTGCTTCTAAGGCCTCTCATTCTGTGAGGAGCCCAGAATGTCTCAGACCAACCCCTGACGTGATAAGATGGCCTCAGGTTCATTACCTTGCTCCCTCCCAGCAGCCGTTTCTGTAGACCTCAAGGAATCTGGATTTGTTTATGTGAAGTTGCAGTGTAAAGCTGTCTTTGACACGTGAACACTCCAAGCCAGATGTCGGCAAACTATAGCCCACAGGCCAAGAGCCTGTCTTTGTACTACCTGCTAGCTAAGAATGTGTTTTGAAAACAAAGAACATGAGACCAAGACCTACAGGACCCACAGAGCCTGAAATATTTACTATCTGGTCTCTTACAGAAAAAATTTGCCAACCTCTGCCTACTCGAGTCCCTAGTTCCCTGACATGTAGCTGTTTGTCTGTACAAACAGCTGACACTGGCTACTATGTGAAGCTGCACAAGGGACAAAGACAGTTTACTCTGAGGCCCTCTTAGAAGAACCACCTCATCCATTCATCTTTCCATTCAAGAAACTCTGTTGCATGTCAGCTGAGCACGAAGAAATGTAAGGCATTGCTGATGTTGGTAGACGCTCTGCCAGCCTTAGGGAGCAGAGGACACCTAACAAAGGAGGGCAGGGCTGCCCTCAACAGCACCCACTCCCTGAGGAAAAGCCTCCCCTTCCCATCGCCCTCGCAGCTTCTTCACGCTAAGAGCTGCCCAGCCCCTAACCCCAGCCAAATTTCATCAGTGTCTTCCCAACAGATCCCCATGTTCTGGTCCCTGGTGTTAAATCCTGGAGAGCATCAGAATTACCTGGTGATTTTTAAAATACATGTCCCCAAGTCCCACTGGAATCTCATGGGGTGGAAGGTGCCTAGGTGATTCAAATACAGCCACCCAGCAATGGTCTGCAAACTAACCTCAAGAACCACTGCTCAGACCTTTTCTTTTCCCTCCTTGTTGTAATGTGCCTGTCCTCGTTCCTCTCCTGGTAAAACTTCCTGGCAGTTGGTGCCAAAGTTTATAGGAGCCTCCTGGAGACAGCGCCATAGCCAGAGGCATGGCTCCACCGCAGGCTCTGTGAACGTGTAATAGGCACAGGGACAGCTGAAGAGCGGGGAGCCCCAGACGCTGGCTTCTTAGGTTTTCTCCTTTCTCCAGGAGAATTAGTGGAGAGCTCAATTTAGACGATTCCCTAGAGAGCTTTTGACGAGAAGGCCTCAACAACATTAACTATCACAAAGTGCCATTTTTTGAAATTGAGGTCATAATGTGCAAAATTGCAGCCCATCAGGCAGCCTAATAGCTGTTCTGGCCCAGAACAGCCCTGGTCTAGGCAGGTCTGTTCTCCACATAAAGACCTGATGAAATTGAGCTGCTTCGGTCTGTAACTCAGAAGTGCAGTTACTTGTGTTGATAAATTTTCTCAGCTAGGTGACAACCAAAGACATTCTGTTTAAATAGAAAAATTTTTAAAGAATGAAAACTGTAGGAATATCTAGCTCAGTCCTTCCATTCAAAATTGGCATTTTGATTTAAAATGCCCTGGAGGAGCTGCCCAGAAACTGAGCTTGCTCTGTAAAACCAGCACAAACCAAATTCTGTCATTATCCACATTCAGGACAGCGCCCAGTTTTGTGTTAGTGTTCTGTATCATATACGGCTAGGAAGAGTTTGAGGTGTTTCATTTGAAGGACATGTTTACTGTAACATGGTTAACTTGTATATAGAGCCACAGAAATTTAAAATGTTTGTACAAGCTAGAATTCCGGGTAGTGCTGGTTGCCAATACCTGCTTTTAAAAGTCATGTGGATTATTTTGAGAATAACTTCGAGAGAGTGCTGGTTTAAACGTGGGTACTATTTAAACAAAGCACCTATCCTTTAGGCATTCAAATACTCTAGACTGTTCACTTTATGCCAGATCAGCCTAGAAATTGAATAATTATTTAAATTCCATAGAAAAGCTAATGTGTAACTAAAAGTCTTTATCAGAAGAAGGCTCTGAAATCTCTTGTTTCAATTGTTAAAAATTCAAGGTGTAGCCAACTCTGATTTATCCCATTCGAATAGCAGTCACCCATGATAAAAGTTCTGTTAATTTTGAATTTTACTTTCAGGACTAGTTTTATTCAGCTTCTGTCCCGACAGTAGCAAGCTGATAAACGTGAGTTTCCCTTCTCCTTCCGCTTGCCTTCTTTCCCCTCTAAGTGCTGTGTTAGTGACATGCTAGGAGGGCCCGAGCAGGGACGTCCAGAGAGATAGATTACTGTCCCAGACTCATCAGAATTCAGACTGGAGGCTTTGCTCAGCCCCAGAGGGAAGTCCGTGTAACTGCAAGGACGGTCATGGTCAAGGCTGTCCTGCCATCTTAGCTGTTGCGTTTGTGTGTGATTTTCAGAGCCCATTTTCCCCTTCCCTTCATGGTAGCCTCGGGGCTGTTTCTTTGAGGAACAAGATGGCTTTCACACATTAGGGAAAGTTCTCCTGGCTGTCAGAGAATAATTAATTGCTTTTCATGGGCTGCTTTTCCCCACCGAGCCGAAGTATTTTGAGAGTTTCATTATGTGACCAGATAACCATGATGGCTACCTGGGATAGGAAAGCAACCTGAAGAATGGAAAGTCTGATCATGAAGATCCCAGACAGCCAAGATATATGCCAGTCTTGACCTATTGCTGTGTCATGCAAAGAAACCCTCAGACGCCTCCACAAGTACATTGGTAGTCAATGCAGAAAAGAGGCTGTCCTCACGTATCCGACCGAACCAGAAGGCTCACTCGGCTCACTCACTAACCAAAACCCAAACCTGTTTATATCATTGCGATTCCAAGTAATGAGCGTATTTAGATGAGCCAGGTTTTCTAAGAAGTAGAAAGAACAGCTGGCTTTTGAATCCACTTGCTTTACAGGTTAATTGTTCTATCACCTTGCAGTCAACTTCCTCAGGTTGCTAACACATCTTCACTTTGGCCCTACCTATTGTCCTTTGCCATTTTTGAAAGTTAAAAGCCCTTTTTCAGAATGTGACTAGAACTCATGTGACAGATTTAGAAGCTTAGAGTAGCCTAAATAAGCTCTTATACACCAACAGACAATCCCACCCCCCTCGCCTCCCCCGCCACCCCGAAAAGGGCAGATATGACTGAGGTCGTTTGGGGCTTGTAGTTTCAGCTTCGCCAGCCTGTCTCAAGCAGCAGATATGGACGAAGTGGGCTGGAGTCGGAGCACAGGGAAGCAACAAAAGCACAACAGGTTGTCACCACAGTGCTTTAGCACTTGTGTTTTTAGAGAGTCACCTGCTCCCAGAGCACTTGCAACAAAAAGAAGAAAAACTGACAGGTGGTCCAGGGACCTCTCCCTGGGATTTGGAACTAGACTTCTGGACAGAAGAAGTAGTATATTCTCAGTCAGAAAGGTTGAGGGCTGCAAAAAGAAAGCCTATGGAAAAGAAACTACTTTGTTTTAGGGGTAGGAGGAGGGATTAGTAGTTAAGACAGATACATGGTTAAAATAAGTGTTATTCCTGTTGATTCTAAGATCTTTCCTCTGTGGGAGGCTTAGATTGCAGCTCTTCGGGAGGGAGAGGGCCTGAGCAGTCACCTGCAGTCTGAGAAGTTTCCCTGCCGAGCCTTTTCCCACCCTGGGCAAGCTATGGGAAACACCTTCAGAATTCAGACTTAGAGAGCACAAGACTGAACAACCGAGCGCTGCTCCACTGGTTTTGGTAGGGTGTCCATCGTTATTAACCAAGCTTGGAATGCCCTGAGCGCCCACCTGAGCCCTGGAGGAGCCAGTTGCTAGCCTGGTCCTCCAAGCAGATGGGACAGCGTGGCTTCTGTGGTCATGCAGATATGACGTTTCTCTCCCCACAGGCGATATCCGCAATGACCTGTACCTAACCCTGGAGAAGGGGGATTTTGAGAGAGGGGGAAAGAGGGTACAAAAGAATATTGAAGTGACCATGTATGTGCTTTATGCAGATGGAGAAATCCTAAAGGTAAGGCTTGCCTGTCGGTCTGGAATGGAGGCTGATCCTGTACTCATCCTATACTTCCGTGGACTTTGTGTGGAGACCCACTCCTCAGGCAGGGCTGATCTCAGGTCACCCACATGCATTCTCCTCTGCCTTCTCTCTTCAAGGAAACCCGATGCCTGCTCGATAATGACTACCAACTTAACAGCCTGTTAGACATTCTTCCTCATATCTGACCTGAACCCTTCCTGCTCCAGTGTAGACCTATTCCCCGTGGCTCTGTCCTGCCTGTTGCTTCTGCTATTCAGTCTAGCACTGGGCTGCCTACTTTGGGTAACTGTTTTTGGGTCCCTCTCCTTCTGTTCCTTAAGCTAATACAGGAAGTTACGTTTGCTCTTTGGTCAGTGGTGAGATTCAGGTACTCACTTACTGGTACCAAGTTACGTGACAAGGAACAGCAGGCTCAGGCCCTAAAAGGTTGCTTCCAGCCAGTGCATTACAAGGACCCTCTGCCGCTCTTCATTAAAAGTGAAGTGCTGTTTTTCTCTTGCCCGTATGTCACTTTGTTCCTTAGTCATGTCAAGGTGAAGTCCCTGGCAAATCACAAGGCATTGTTTGCAGAAGGCAAGTCAGCCTTGTACAGACCTCGCTTGTGTATGTTGACATCAGCTTTGCGAGGTAGGCAGAACAGGAACAATCATCTACATTTTAGAGAAGAAAAAGATAAATGAAATTCATCAAAATCATCTCCCAAAGCCAGAAAGAGGAGAATGTCTTTGGTGGTAGAAACACCGATTTGTCATTTTAAAAACCCACCTCAAGGACACGCCTGTTAGAGTAGATGTAATGCCGTCAGGTGTCCACGCCAGCCCTGTGCAGACAGGGGCTGCTCCTGAGTGTGTGGCCTGCAGCTGCCTGTCCTCCAGGGAACGGGCTCGGACAGTCCCGGGACTGCATCTCCATGCCAGTATTTGGGAACCGGGGTCAAGTTAAATCTGGCCTATCGTGTTTGTATCTGAGGACAGTCAGCTGAGGGCAACCTAAAATGCCAATGCAGCGCTGGCCTAAGGAAGATTAGAAAACAAGCTCTCACCACTTTACAATTTAATTGTTTTTCTCATCTGAATGAGTGCCATGCACAGTTAACTCGTCCCACGGAGTTCACTGTTTCCTAGTGAGGGTGAAGGGCCTCCCTTAGTGACCCAGTTGCACCCTCAGCAGCCCCCCAGTTCACTGAGCACTGTGTGCGGTGGCCTCTGCCCCAGGGAACACAGGAGCTAGGACTGCTGACTCCTCATGCCGTCTACACGCTGTTTCCAAAAGTGTTGACTTTAAGCGAATTTAAGTGAATTTTCTCACCTCATAGATGTGGCCTGGTGGGAAAATGAGAGCCACACCAAGGAGAAAGTGAAGTGTCCTAGTGACAGGGACATCCGGGGGCGCCCTGCAGGAAGATGACACCTTACTTTGCTTCTCTCTTCCAGGATTGCATCAGCTTGGGTTCAGGAGAGCCGAACAGGAGTTCCTACCACTCCTTCGTCCTCTACCACAGTAACAGCCCTCGCTGGGGGGAAATTATCAAACTGCCCATCCCCATCGACCGGTTCCGGGGCTCCCACCTGCGCTTCGAGTTCAGACACTGCTCCAGTGAGTGGCCCTCTCTCCACGTTCCTTTGCGGATAGCGCTCTAAGTCTCCCTTCTCCGGAACAGAGTTGAGAGGGTTCTTATTAGTGGGGCCAGAAAATGAGAAGTTAGGAAATGGCTACTCAGAGATGGGATGTCACCAGAGGCTGTTCTTTGGACAGTGGTTGTCCAAAATCATGGTATTGGTTCTTCTGAGTGTCTGACCTGGACGCTGGGCAGTTGTCACTGTCATTCTTTTTGGGTGTTCCTTCGTACGTATTCAGCTGCTTCCTAGAGAGCCCCTGGCTTATCGAGACCAGCAGTTTGGTTTCTGCCTGGGCCTAAAGAGCCTGTGTAGCCGGGGATGTCAGCGGAAACTCAGACCAGTATGTTTCTCCTCGTCCTTGCAGTCAGGTTGCTACCTAATTAATGAAAGTAAGGATCAAAGAAGTAAACGGCATAGGTGATGAGCGCAAGGGGAATTTCTAATTTAAAAAGCAAAGTGGGGGCGGGGAGCAGAAACGACTAACACCAGCTCTGATTGCAGCGAAGGACAAAGGGGAAAAGAAGCTCTTTGGCTTTGCATTCTCACCCCTGATGCGGGATGATGGCACCACTCTCTCCGATGACATCCACGAGCTCTATGTGTACAAGGTATGGGCCCTGGCTGTCTCTCACCTCCCTCCCTCCTCTGAGGCCACTTTCGCCTGTGGTTCTCAGCTAGGTGGTTTGCCCCGGGCGGGCCAGAGGATCCAGGGTCGTGTGCTGGCAGGTGACAGCAGGCTTTTGTCTTCTCCCCATAAGTAATGCCAGCAGGCCCTTTGTTTCCCACCTCCTGCTCCACTAGTCATGAACATCCATTACCAACCCCTACGTGCCGCTGTGGCCCTGGCTAGTGTACCCTGAGACCTGCTGTTTGAGATCATGGTTCTGTCCGCCGTCACCTGCACGCCGGGTGGAGGCCACATGTCCCGCCCTATTCCCTTTAAAAGGCATGTCACCTGTTCTGGGGAGTTTTGGGACAGAGGGCAGGAATCAGCCAGGAATCTCCCGGAACTCGATGTTTCTACATGGCGTGGACCAGGAAACAGTCTGTGTTCTCCGCTTCTGCCTACAGTGCGATGAGAACAGCACGTTTAACAACCACGCTCTGTACCTGGGCCTGCCCTGCTGCAAAGAGGACTACAACGGCTGCCCGAACATCCCCTCCAGCCTCATCTTCCAGCGCAGCACCAAAGAGTCTTTCTTCATCTCCACGCAGCTCTCCTCCACCAAGCTCACCCAGAACGGTAGGCGATGGTGCCCACAGGGTGGTGCCCTCCCTGTCCTCAGTCGCTGGTCCATGTTGCTCATGTACATTAAGTGGCACAGAAATTATTGCTGTCATGCCACAGTGAGGGGAGTCTTCTCATTCAGAGTCAAAGGAGTCACTTGGCAGTAGCAGCCCATGCGATTTCCCATGGTTTTAGCAGCTCCAGAGTGCACACGCACAGTTCACAGATGTGTCTTTGGCCTTGACCTTGGCACTGAAGCTTCTGCTGTCATGCTCGCAGCTCTTTCTGATCCCCCAAGAGCCCACCTGTCAGTAGCCGGGAGGGTCTGGGCGTTCCTCGTCCTTGGCAGAGGCGGGGTTCACTGTCCTTCACGCTTGCTTTCCAGTGGACCTCCTTGCTCTGCTCAAGTGGAAGGCCTTTCCAGACAGGATCATGGACATCCTTGGGCGGCTGCGGCATGTCAGCGGAGAGGAAATTGTTAAGGTACGGCTCACACGTGCTCCTGAGCGAGAATCTGGGCAGAAGGCCTTACTTCCCCCTGGTTTCTGCCAACAAGCTTCTTAGACCATTCTCAAAATATATAATTAGATGAGTAGGAATAAAGTTTCTTTCTTTTTTTTTTTTTAGTTAGCTTCTTTTTTTAAAGTAGTTATCACATCAGGTTTACTGCCTTTTGAGAACTATATTTAAACCCTAATTTCTGACTTGTTTTTCTTCTTAGAAAGCAAAATGGTAATTGAAGGATAGTGGGACAGCATCCCCTCAGGAACGGTCCCAGTGCCTTGTGCTGTCTGCATTCCTTTAGGTCTTCTCTCCCTTTCTTAGATCTCATTCTCATTGTCCCTACTTTGTCACCCTCTAAACACAAACCCAGCCTGATGTCTTCTTTCTGGCACCACTCTCTTCGTTATCTAAAAGAACTCTAATCTGTTCCATTCACTCGCAGCTGCTGATTTTGCCCGGTCCCTCCCTTAGAGTCCATGCTAGGGAATCCTTCCTTACGCCCTGCCTCAGCCGCTTCCCCCAGGAACCTTCATGACCTTTCCCAGCTAATGGCCTGAGCTGTCTGACAGCAGTACTACCAGTCCCCAGCTGTCTTCCACAGGCTTCTCCGCACTGCATAGAGTTGGCCAACCTGATTTTAGCTCAGGAAATGCCCAGGTACTTCCCGATGGTAAGAGCCCTACAGGTGGATTCTACACAATGGACTGAGCTCCTCTGAGGAAGATGGAGGTGCTTGTGGTGATCAGCAAGAGCAGTAGAATGTCGGACAGAGACTGTATCTTAAGAAGGCTCTTTGTCCATCAGTGAGCATCTTAGCTCTGGCCCTGCAATAGCAGATCAATTAACAGATGCACTGTCTATACTTGCCTTTTACTGCTCCATTGACTCAGTAATAACACGACATGGTGTCTCCAAATGAGGAAGTTTTGAAGTCTGTGTACTGCTGTGTACTTTTATGAAGTCTTATACGAATTTTGTTTTAATCAATTGATCAGAGTATCATAAATTTTAGAAAGATGTCTTAACAAGCCGATACTAGTTTTTGAAACTTAAGATAAATTCGTACTGAGGGCATTTTTTTCTTCTGAACATATTAAAAATATGAACCAATAAACGAAGTAGTGGAAGTCTTTGAACTTTTTTAATGCTGAGTTGTCGTATTCCTCACAAGAGAACATTCTTTCGGTAGATCTGGTTTTAGCATCAATAATTTGTCTCGAGCCAGCCAGAAGAGAACATGAAGAGAATATGCTAGCATTTTAAAATATGTTTTTACTTTTTATTAGAAGATTTCAAACATTCACAAAGGTAGACAGAATAGTATAAAGAACCCTTCGTGTACCCATCAGCCAGCACCAGTAGTCACCAACCCGTGGCCAGTCCTACCCATTAACATCCCATCCAGGCCTCCCACCTCATGTTGTTTTGAAATAAACTATAAACATTGTATCATTATATTCTGTTTTGACCAACAAAATGTTAGATTTGATTCTTTAAAATTTTATTTTATTATTAGTTTCAAGGATACAGTACATCAGTTAGACATTTAAGACTACCAGCATCCATGAGTATTTGTCATTTTCTCCCTCGGCTTTTGCATCTTGGAAAGGAAAGAGAACATACTCTAAAAGACAAACAAACAGTGCTTCCAGATCTTTTACTGTCATTGACAGCCCCCATCAGCTGCATTCTCCCTTCTCCTGGGATACTAATTTCTAACCAAAAAAAATAGTATCGTGGATAAGGCCTGGCTTGCCACATCCTCATCTAAATGACCTCTATAGAGTTAGGCCACAGTAGAGAGCAAGGGGCTGCTAAACTCTCTGGGGTCCCAGGAAAGTGAGCTCTTTTTCTCAAAATGAGTTTGACATCAGGATCACTTAGATTGTCTTGATTTCAAAACTGCTCTCCCACGTGGATGCCCTCGGTTTTTTAGGTAATTGCTCTTTCCTTAGAATTTTAGCACTTATCCAACAGGAGCCGCCTCCTTATGGCCCTTTGGGCTACAAGCAAAGACCCCAGGTCCACCCAGTTACCCCTTAGCTAGGTGGAGGCAGGTACTCGACCATTTTTAAGTGGTGGTTTGAGATCTTTGTTTACTGTGAGATAAATTTGCCAGTGTGCAGAGTCTGACCACATGGACAGGCCCTAAGACCCGAGCCCTGTGGTTTTTGTGCTGTTGCAGTTCCTGCAGGACATCTTAGATACGCTCTTCGTGATTCTGGACGATAATACAGAGAAGTACGGCCTACTGGTGTTCCAGTCTTTGGTAAGTCTCATCCTTCTCGGCTTTCATTTTTCCTATCACATATTTTTAAAAGAGGGAGGCAATTTAATAGAGTGAGTCAGTAATGAATTAGATGCTTTTAATAGAAAAGGGACCAAGGAGTGTCACCCAAAAAGACCAGCCTACCAGGAAGATCCCTACAAGATCAAGTTTGAAGAATTCAGCAGGGTCAGGTCCGAGCCTCAACCCGGTAGTTCGGTACTCCATCTCACCACTGCTGCAGAGTTGCCTGGCCCCTGAAATAGTGACCTGCACCAGCACAAGGCCCAGAGGCTACTATGGGAAACCAGGGGGCCCATTTTCTACTTACACAGTTGAATAAGGAGAGACCAGGAAAAGCAGAGACTCGCTCATGCTGGTCTGAGCATCACACTCTCTCCCTCTGTGAAGTTGTTTGGGGGCTAGTCTCAGGAGGTTGTTTAGTGAGAATGAACAGTGATTTAAATGTTTAGTGCATTTTGCTTAATATAGCCAGTCCCACAGGAGTGCTGTATATTCAAGGAGAACCGGATACTCCAAGTCTCCCTGATAGATGAGGAGCAGAGGTGAGAGTTAGAATAGCACTTGCATAGTTTGCCCCCTTTGGCTCTTCTTCCTCACTTCCTCGGCCGACCAGCCCCATTTCTGAAGGGCACAGCCTTTCATAGGCTAATTTGGCTCCTTGGACAATCTTTTTTTTTTTTGCTTCTTCCAAGGTTTTGAGATACCATAGGATTTACGCTTCCTATACAGGCTCAGAGTAACACTGGCACAGACAGATGAGCCCCAAGTCTGGTTTGGGAGTCCAGGGGTGGTAGGAACAGAATGGACAAGACAGAAGCTCAGACACAGAGTGGAAATCTTACATTCACTGCCCGTGGAGAACACTAGGGTAAACATTGACAGTCTGCCACCCTGCGAAGAAGCAAGAGTTCTGTGTTCTGCTGGGGATAGGTACGGGGCCTCCAGAGGACTCTCATACCCTCCGTCTCTTCCAGGTATTCATCATCAACCTGCTCAGAGACATCAAGTATTTCCACTTCCGGCCTGTAATGGACACGTACATCCAGAAGCACTTTGCTGGAGCCCTGGCATACAAGTAAATTCCATTTGGCACCATTATTAGGACTTGTGTTTGAATAGAAAGAAGCTTTAAACAAAGGTCGCCATTCATTCAGCTGATTTTTTTTTAACTTCACTTATTTTTTTAATTGTGCACATAATGTAAAAGTTACCATCTTAACCATTTTTCAGTGTACAGTTCAGTGATATTAAGTACATTCTCATTGTTGTGCAACCATCACCATCATCCGTCTCCAGAACTCTTTTCATCTTGCAAAACTGAAGCTCTGTCCTCTTTAAACACTAACTCCCATCTCCCCCTGCCCCTAGCCCCCAGCAACCACCATTATATCTTAGGTCTCTTGGAATTGCCTATTCTAGTCACCTCATATAAATTGAGTCATACAGTATTTGTCTTTTTGTGTCTGGCTCATTTCACTTCCATTAAGGTCCTCAGTGTCCATCCATGCCATAGCATGCGCTGGAATTTCCTTCCTTTTAAAGGCTGGATAATGTTCCATTGCGTGTGTAGACCACATTTTATTTATCCATTCATCGTCGGTGAGTTCGGGTGGCTTCCACCTTTTAGCTTTTGTTAATACTGCTGCTGTGAACATGGGTGTACAGATATTTCCTCGAGACCCTGCTTTCAGTTCTTTTGGATGTGTATCTGGAAATGGAATAGCTGGATCATATGACAATTCTATTTTTAATTTTTTGAGGAATCACCATACTGTTTTGCACAGTGGATGCACCATTTTACATTTCCATTACAGTGCATGAGGGCTTCAATGCTCCATATCCTCACCAACACTTGTTATTTTCTGTTTTGTTTTGTTTTCTGTTTGGGGGAATTTTTTTTTATATAGTAGCCTTTCTAAAGGGTGTGAGGTGGTATCTCATTGTAGTTTTCATTTGCATTCTCCTAATGATTAGTGATGTGACATCTCTTCATGTGCTTATTGACCATTTGTGTATCTTCTTTGGAGAAAAATCTGTTCAGGCACTTTGCCCATTTTTGAATCAAGTTGTTTGGTTTTTGTTGTTGAGCTGTCAGAGTTCTTCATATTTTCTGGATATTAACCTCTTGTCAGGTATACGATTTGCGAATATTTTCCCCTGTCGCCTTTCACTCTGTTGGTGGTGCCCTTTGATGCACAGATTTCAATTTGATGTAGTCCAGTTTATCTACTTTTTTATTTAGTTTCCTGTGCTTTTGATGTCATATCTAAAAAGCCATTGCTAAATTCAGTGCAACTTAAGCTTTTCCCCTGTTTTTGCCTAAGTGTTTTATACTTTTAACTCTTACAGTTAGGCCTTTGATTCATTTTGAGTTAATTTTTGTTGATTGTGTAACATGAGTCCAACTTCATTTTTTTGCATGTAGATAGCCTGTTTTTCCAATATAATTCGTTGAACAGACTATTCTTTCCCCCATTGAATGGTCCTGGCACCCTTGTTGAAATAATTCGACCATATATGCAAGAGTTTATTTCTGGGCTATTTTTATATGTCTGTCTTTATGTCAGTACCATACTTTTCATTACTGTAACTTCTGTAGTAAGTTTTGAAATCAGGAAGTGTGATTTTTCTAACTTCTTTTTCAAGATTGTTTTGGTTCTTTGGGATCCCTTGGATTCTATATGAACTTTAGAATGGATTTTTCTATTTCTGCAAATAATGTCATTGAGATTTTAATAGAGAGTGCATCAAATCTGTAGTTCACTTCAGGTAGTGTTTCCATTTATTAATATCTTCTTTATGGTCTTCCTACAGTGTTTTGTAGTTTTCAGAGTACAAGTCTTTCACCTCCTTGATTAAGTTTATTTCTAAGTATTTTATTCTTTTTTGATGCTACCGTATATGGAGTTTTCCCTTAATTTCCTTTTTGGATTGCTCATTGTTAGTGCATAGAAATGCAACTGATTTTTGAGTATTGACTTTATATCCTACAACTTTGCTGAATTCATTGATTAGTTCTAAAAGTTAAGTTTTGTAGAATCCTTAGATTTTTCTACATATAAGATCATGTCAGCTGCAAACAAAGATAATTTCACGTCTTCCTTTGCAATATGGATGCCTTTTATTGTTTTTTCTTGCCTGTAGACTCTTTCAATACCATGTTGAATAGAAGTGGCAGGAAGCAGGCATCCGTGCCTTGTTCCTGATCTTAGAGGAGCAGCTCACAGTCTTGCACCACTGAGTGATGTTAGCCGTCGGCTTTCAGCCGACATTTTAAACCATAGTTTCTTACATAGCTGTCATACTTTTCCTTTTTCCTTCTAAGAAATGATGGCACATGGACAATGGACTAGTGGTTACCAGAGGGGAAGGGAGAGCGGGGAGGGGGAAAAATAAAAATAATAAAATGTTAAAAAAAAAAAAAATTTCATAATATCATTTAATGTCCAGACTACATTAAAATTTCCCAATTGTCTCCAGAAAAAAAAAAAAAAGAGATGATGGCAAAGCTGTTATAAAGAAGTCTGCCTTTTTCCATGAGAAACACGTAAATAGCTAAATAGAACACACAAGTAAATGTCAAAGAAATAATAAGACAGTCGATGAAAGATAATATAAATAGTAAATATGGGAAACACAGGTTTTCTAAAATCATTAAAGCAGTTTTTAAAAAGTCACCATTTTCTTTTATGGAATTAGCACAGTTTTCAAAAACAAAACCCAAGGGTGGTGAGGCTGTAGGGTCACTGTAACTCTGACACTTCGATGTTACTGTGGAGAGCAGGCACTATGCTGTGTGTTTTACAGGTGTCATCTCATTAGTATTCCCAATAACTTTGAGATGTGCTATTGTTTCCTCCATGTTTTAAATGAAGAGAACGAGGCACATAGGGATCAAATAACTTGCCCAAAGACACAGAACTAGAAACTGCTAGGCTCCAGATGTGAACCCTCTTGTCTGGCCAGGGCCTATACTCTTGACCTCTGTTGCTCTATTGCCATGTAAACATATAGGCCTTCTGACCCTGTAATCTCATGTCACTCAGGGGACTTGGTCCTAAGGAAATAAATTGGATGTGGGTCGAGTGGAGGGCGGGGTGGCACACGGGACTCTGCCTTTTTCAGGGTCTACCATTGATGAGCCGTTGTGTGACATTGGGACATAGCAATTTTAGACAAAGCAAAAATACACGTATGGTCCAAGACTTTGGGAAAACTTTCTTGTAATCAAAGAAGAAACATGTGTTAGGGAGAGTAGTGAAGAGTGATTGTACTTGCTAATTAAAATGCGGCAGCTAGAGAGCGTCTTCTGGTCTCAGATGATCCAAAGAGTCTACAGCTGTAATAGAGCCATCACTCCATTCTAGCTCATCAGTAGGATATTATTTTCTATGTGGCTGATTCAGGGAAGAAAACATTTCAGGCTGCATTGCTTGTGGAGTAAAGTGGGGTTTCTGGAACTGTTCTCTTTCCCAGGGAGCTCATCCGCTGTCTGAAGTGGTACATGGACTGCTCAGCAGAACTGATTCGGCAGGACCACATTCAAGAAGCCATGCGGGTAACGTACTGAGCTCGCTGCATGCAAATGGCCCGCCCCTGCTTGTCACTTGTGAGTAATCCCAGAGGTACAGTGTGCAGGACAAGCGGAGACATCCCAGTACACTGGCCTGCTTTCAGGACACTTCGGACCACATAACTCCCCTCCCTTCACCTCGATTTTGCGCCGGAAGATGCTTATTCCTGATGATGTTATGTGAGCAGGAGGGAGGTGTGCACACGGCTCCTCGCCATCCTCTCTGGGTTCTGCCAACAGCATTGGCCTCTGCTTCCACTGGCTAATGGATCGATCATACTCCTTCTGAGCCAGTGTTGGTGGCATCATTAATCAAAATTAAAATCTTCTGATACTTCTTTTTTCTACAATAGTTACTAAACATTGATTTTTGGAATGGCTTCAAATAAAAAAGAGCTGCGTGGATGCCCCAGAATGCTGCGTGGGTATGTTGAGAAGAAGATAATCTTAAAACCTTGACCTTTGGAGGAACCAAGGGTACCCCCATGGCAATGACCTTGCTTAGACAGGTTCCATGACAAGGCAGCCCTTTATATGTTGAGCAGCTCCCGTTTATAGGGGACCATCCTCATTATGAGTTAACTTCACTTTCTGGTAAATTCTTTTCATGGCTGCTGTTTGTGCAGTAGAGAACAACCTATGAGAATGTTGATCCCTCTTTTGCTCAATAGTTCTCCAGACAGCTATTTGAAGACACTTAAAGTAAGTCCATACTTTCTTCCTTTCTGCCTCTGTCTTTTCTTATTCTTGAGTTACTCTGTTTTAATTGCTTTTTAACCATGTCTTCCCCACCCTTTTCAGTTAGCAATAGAAGAAGAATGGCAGCAAAGTAATTATGCTTTTTCTCTGTCCTCTTAATATTACATCATCTGTTCTAAGTACCACTGGGCCTGTGATTTTGTTATTCTTGTCCACGTGGTAACAAGCAAAACGAATGTTTCCCTAAGCAGCATCAGATCGAAGAGGCAAAATGAAATCATAGATCTGTGTTTCTCCTACTTCTCTGCACATCCTATAAAAATCTAAAGCCACAAGTCCCATTTCTGGCCTCCTTCATACAGTATATGTGTACGGAGCAGTCAGCACCTGTCGTGGGTGCTGAGATGCGAAGAGGACCAAGACAGGCCTCTCCCCTTGAAGGACTCATCCCAGTGTCCCAAGGGGAAGTACGCACAAACACGGTGCAGAGCAGGGTCCTGCGTGTGATGTGAGGGCCAGGCCTGGGCTATCTTCTCTGAACCCCAGCACCTGTCAGCTGCCGCGTGTACTATCTAAGCAGGTAAAGATTGAGTTAAATGCAAAAGATTTTATGTGAGTCCATAAATTAATTGCTTAAGGGTACTGGAGAAGGCATCGCAAAGTAAGTTGTTTTCTCTTAAGAACTGTTTATTCAAGTCTACGGCCATGCCACCCTGAACACGCCCGATCCCGCCTGATCTCGGAAGCTAAGCGGGGTCGGGCCTGGTTAGTACTTGGATGGGAGACCACCTAGGAAGACCAGGTGCTGTAGGTGTAAAACAATAAAAAAAGAATCGTTCAGTCATTTATTTAGTTAATATTGCTTGATACCTGCCTTGTGTCAGGCACTGTATTAGCCCCATGGGATTCAGCAGGGGCCCAAGCAGAAAAAGCTAGGCCTTCATAGCACTTCCATTCAAGTGGGGGAAAGACAGTCAATAAACACATGAAACAGATGAATACACAAAGTTAGTGGGCATAAAAAAACTTGATGAGTACTGTGAAGGAAATAAACCAGGAAATAAGCCAGGGGGAGAGTAGCTGGAGAGGCAGATTTACTTCAGATCCAGGTTTTAGGGAAAACTGCTCTGAGGACATGACCTCTGAGCTGAAATCTGTGTTGGGAGCTGGGGACGAGCATTTCAGGTGGAGGAAACAGCGTGTTTAAAAAGCCTGCATGGGAAAGAGCTTGAGTTTTCAAACAACCAAAAAGAGGCTGATGTGGTTAAAACGGGCTTTCAAATGTTAGGTTAGGTGTGGGAGGCAGCAAAGGAAGAACAGAGGCTGGTTCAGGGGTCTGGCGAGATCAGCTGGGTTGCTGGCAGGGTCACTTACGGAAGCGCAGAGTTCCTGGAGAAGATGGGCTTGGGTGGGGAGAAGGGGGAGCCGCATTGGGGGGAGCGCTTCTCTGAGGTATTTCCACACTTGTTCTTACCATTTCAAACTTGATCGAGTGGCATCCAACACAAATGCATCCAGTTCGACGGTTTTATCAGGCCCTTTGCCCATCTTCATCCAGGTCAATTTACAAGTCCTCTTGACCAAGCCAGTAAGTCTCCATGCGATCCTGTGGCCATCCTTTGTGACAGGACGTGTGTGCTCCTGGCCAGGCGCCTCTCCTTCTGGCATAACACAGCGTGGACCAGGAAACCCCCTCTTCTTCATTACTCTGATTCACTACATCTTGCCATTCTCTTCCCACCTCTACCTTCCACTTTCTGAGTCATGACCTTTCCAAGGGAGTTCTACCACTAAAGAAGATAAAAATAAACAGTCCAGTCCTTTATTTTCTTACTTGGATCTGTTATTTGTTCCCTCATGAATGACCTTTGGTGGTGTCCTTGGCGATTTTGAGGATGGCTTTTGAGCTCCTTCTCAGCCACAGTTCATTGTCTCCGCACAGGGTCAGGAGCACCCTTGAACTTTGAACAATTTCCATAGGGTCCACCCCTCACCTCTACTCCATTGTCTGCCCTCCTCTCCTTCCCCAGTCGTTTCTGCCTGAGGCGGTCCTGGCCAAGCTGATGCTGATCTTAAAAATCAGGAGGAATGGGGAACAGGGATGGGTGATGGATGGCCGGAAGTGGGCTTGTTTTCCATGCCCGCACCCCAGTTTTCGAAGGGCCGTCTCTGACACCGCCTTGTGCTCCCCTGCGCAGTGTCTGTGTTTTAGAACTTCGTGGTGGAACTAAGCCCTCGTGCCCAGAACGTGCAAGTGACTTTGTCGTCTGGTTCTGCCTCTCAGTCCAAAGCTAGTGATTGTTTCAAGCCACTCAATACATCTCTTGTGGTAGGTGTTTCAAACTGAAAAAACTGGCGATGAGGAAACATTTGCCCTTTTAAAATTAGAATATGGAGCGCAGGCTTTCCAGGTTCTCTCCAGACCAGGTGTTAAAAGGCTGCCGGAACGGAGGCTGTAGCTTTAGTGGAGATGAGGCTGCACGCTGAAACTTCGTCCACATGCGTCTGGTGCAAACCTTGGAAGACACATTTTTCTGAACCAGCCATTCTCTGGTGCCAACTGCCTTGTGTATGGGACACACACACATACACACTAGTTTTACTTTGCTGAACCTTCATGAAAGGTAGCTTGGAAATTGTTCCCTGTTATATATTTCAAGTAACTGAGCTCCGTTTGTTTCATCCTTGGATAAGTTTCTCCTAAACGTCTCTGCCTTCCCAGTGTCAGGGAAGCATGTGGCATTTCTTTGATTAGAAAGCACAGTCTTGGATCTCGAATCTGTTCTTTTGAAAGAGAGTTACTCTGCTGACGAGCATGGATCAAGCTGCAGGAACCCCTCAGAATCAAACCAAAGCGTGTTCTGGAGGCTGTTCATGAACTGTTTGTGGCAGGTGGCCTGGTCTGGAAGAAGGTTGGGGAGTGGGTATGTCACGTCCACCAGCTGCTGTACAGCCTGGGACAAGTTTGGCCCAGCCTCCACCCCCATGAGAGGGCTGGCCTTGCGAGGCCCCTGGCTCTCTCTCGAAGATACAGACGACTCCTTATAGGACTCTTGAAATAAATTCAAGAGAAGTTCTTACAGCATTGCCTTTGGAGGGGCTTATTTCCAGACCTGAAAAAAAAATGCAGAGAAACTGATTTTTTTTTTTTGGATCCTCTATGTTCTTGGATTCAACTGTTTCCATGACAGTCTGTGGTTCCTCAATTCCAGAATCTCAAAAAACAGTTATGAAGGAATTTGATGGTTCTCTCGGTAAGGTCACTGCTGCTCAGTGACCTTTGGACTTAGAGAAAAGTTTTTAAAAGTAAAGTGCTTGTCTCCGCAGTTGGAATTGCCCATCACCTGGTTTTCGTGTGGAATTTGCTGTTACTTCGCCCTTCGTTCCCTGCTCTGTTAGTTCCTGGCCATTGTTAACACGTTTCTATCCCTTTTTCTCCCACATCTCCAGGCCTTGGAGTACCTTTTCAAGTTCATCGTGCAGTCGAGGATCCTGTACTCACGAGCTACCTGTGGGATGGAAGAGGAGCAGTTCCGGTCGAGCATCCAAGAACTTTTCCAGTCCATTCGGTTTGTGCTCAGTCTGGACAGCAGAAACTCGGAAACACTCCTGTTCACGCAGGTCTGTCAGCTGCCGGGGAGTCGTGCTGCTGGATTCTTGTCTGTCTTAGCAGGTGGTTTCTTTGTCCTCTGGCTTCCAGAGTCGAAGAAGCCCTGCCAGGCTCCCGTGTGTTGGGTAAAGGTTGATGTACAAGGAAATACCTAATAGAACAAAAGGCTTTTACTTCAAAGCTAGCTGTGCCCCAGCCACCAAATATAAATGGCCCCATGGCTTTATGGCCAAGGAGAGGCCCATCTTTGTTCTCAGGATCCTTCTTTAGGCCAGATGTGTTTAGCTACCATACTTTAGTCGTTGATGAAGATCGTATTTACGGAGGATGTTCAGAATGTGTAGAGACTTTCATCTCCTAGTTACTGTGTTAATTTAAAAAAACTTTAGATTAGTACTTGTCCATTCCAGCAGTTTAGTTTGAAATAGGTTGGAAAACAGCCGAAATAAGTAGAAAACTTTGGTCAAGAATTAGGATTAGATTCTATTAGAAATATCAGTGTAGGAAGGAAATTTGCTTTCTTGCATTAAAAATGTCAGTAGGCTAATCTATTACCTTTTCCATGCAACGTCACCCTAGCAAAGATCAAGGATATTGCCATTGCCCCAGTCACAAGGGGTTATTTTCTCTTATAAGTAAATGTCAAAATTGTATCTAATGGATTGCACTTCTCAGATTTTTTGAAGCCAATTATTACATCAAAATCACCAGCAAAGACCAGATAACCTCTCTCATGTCCATTCATTCAGTCACCGCCAGGACTGTCAGGAGGGCAGATGTCTTTATCAATGTCTCATTTACGATTAGAACAGTCTGTCTTTTGTTTTCCACTTGACTCCGTGTTGCCCTTCGTGGCCATTTGCTTTTAGGCCAGTTGGTCCAGAGGACGGCTAAGTAATTGGGAGCTAGACTCTATAACAAGTGGGAATTCTGCAAGGTTGCCAGGCGCCTTCATAGAAAGGCTCCTTCCATGGTGCCTCCTCCTAAGTACCCAAACAACTCGTCTTCCTCTTCCCTTCCCTCCCCCAGCCCATCTGTTCCTGCCAGCAGAGGCCCAGGACTCCTCCCTGTGGCCTGCAGAGAAACCGTGGGGGGGGCGGGGGGCACAGATTCAGAGGTAGCAGGCAGAGCAAGGCAGATGCGCATTCTGAGAACTCTGCGATGCCCTGTAAGCAACAGTACACTCCTACCACACCAGGAAATAGTTGAGATCTAGTCTCAGCTCAGACTTGAGTCAGGATCAGGCCTGCTTCTCTGGTGCCAGGCTCACGTTTCATGAGTTTCAAAAGTCTCACCAAGTGTATTCAGGCAGATTTTCTGTCTTTGATTCTGACCACTGAGAGAGAGTAGGGTGCAAGTGTCTTTATGTCCTGGTGCCTAAGTGTAGGAAATTTAATTATTTAGGAGAGCAAATCAGCTACTGTTTGTTGTTGATTATGAAGTGTCTGCTTTTCCTCCCTTTGTCTTTTTTATCCAGCTGCTTATGATAATGTTTTTGTGCTAATTCTAATAACTGCGAAGTAACCTTCTTGATATCCCAGGGAGTTATAAATCTTCAGATAGAATTCACATAAGTCTTGTGCTATGGCCTGGCCTGAGCATAGCCGGCAGTATGACAGACCTGTTTCCCTATGGCATCAATTTTCCACTCAGTCTGAGCCAGTGTCTAGTGCCTGATGAAGCCATCAAGAAAAACACCCCTCTCCCTCCCCGGCCGCTTTGGAAGAGCGCACTCTCACCTTCTCGTCTCACGGCAACACGCGTTTCCCTTTGCAGATCTTGGGTTAATAGTGTAAGAGGACTGAGAAGTGGAGAAAGCCTCCTTCACGCTGCTTCCATTTAGACGAGAGAGAAGAGTGAGAACCAACATGCAGTGAAGGCCCTGTGCCAGGCACTCCACTGGACACGAACTTTATGCGCCTAATTTTATTCCACATACTAATGGCAGGAGAGTATAGCATCGTCCCCACTTCATAGATGAGAAAACTGAGGATTAGGCTGTAACTCACCCAAGGTTCTATGGCAGATAAGTGGTAAAGCTGGAATTTGAAATCATGTCTGTCTTAATTCCAAAACTCATTCTCTTTCTCTTATACTACTTTGCCTCCCAAAGGTTCTGGAATTATTATCAGATTGTCCTCAAGGGGCCACCTCATGGGCCTACCAGAGCGGAGCCCCTAGGTGTCTCCAAGCACACACACTCCTGGGCCATCCAGGTGGCCGAACGCTATGCCAGCATCATTGAAAGACCTTAAGAGGTCATGGCTGACTAAATCCACACATTCTCCATCCCTTGGATTTACCCCAGAGACCACCAGGCATCAGATTTCATGGTTTCAAATAAATGTCTCTATCCGGGGAAAATGGTCCAGCTCTCAGCTGGATCGCTGGCTGCAGGGCTCTGAGCAGAGTGCAGCTAGTGCTGCTTGGAGGTGCTCAGCTCTCTCTGCCATGCTCTCTTTGAGAAGCCCTTGGCTTGAGTTTGGGACCGAAATTGGAAAGTCAAGAGCTTGTGCATAGAGATAGACAAAAAACTTTAAATCCATTTTATGAGCAAAAACAGCTATGGATATTAAGGCATGTTGACCTGATTTCTCTATATTCCTTCCTCTTGCCAGCAGAAGCCTTGGCAAGTTATGAAAGCCACAAGTGGCCCGGGCCCCAGTCAGCTCCCTTGTTTTGATTCTCTCATTCCCTCATTCCCTCATTCCTCCCTGCTCTGTGTCCCAAGAGTGCCGCAGGGGCGGGTGGAGTCAGAGGCCAGGGAAGAACCCACCGCAGGCAGGGCTGCGGCAAAGCCTTCAGCCTCTCACCACCTTGTATCTTTGTCTGAGCTCCCAAGATGGACACACACCTGAGCTAACCACGGCTTCACTTGCTTCTGCAGGCTGCACTCCTCAATTCCTTCCCAACCATCTTTGATGAGCTGCTGCAGATGTTCACCGTGCAGGAGGTGGCAGAGTTTGTGAGAGGGACCCTGGGAAGCATGCCCAGCACTGTCCACATCGGGCAGTCGATGGACGTGGTGAAGCTGCAGTCCATCGCCAGGACTGTGGACAGCCGCCTGTTTTCTTTCCCAGGTAACTGAAGTTGGGGTGAGAGTCAGATTCACCTTTCCTCCTTTTCAGGATGTTAGCCAAGCGGTAATCAAAAGATCGGGTTTATCAATCATCGTGCAAGAAGCCAGTAGCCTTTAAAATGCAGAGGATTTTTGGTAAACTGTGTTAGAGGATGCAGCCAGGACCTAGGCCTGCTGCCTTACTCACAGTGTATTCATACAGGCACGCATGGGGCGGCCTGCAGAGCAATGTGCAGTCCCACAGGTCTAGCCAGCTGCCAAAAATGGGGCCTGCCACACCTCCAACAGAGGGAAAGGAGGGGGAGCCAGAGAGGAGGGTCTAGCCCGAGGGGATAAGGAGAGTCAAAGAAGTGGGAGACCCTGAGGGGGCGCCCTGAGGACTCACCTGCTTTGTTGGTTCCTTGTCTCACCGGTCAGATAGATTGCTTCTCTTCTCTTTGAAGGAGCCTCTAAGGATTAGTCAGAGATGGGCAGGGAACCCTCCCCACTCCCGGAGAGGTCAGGACAGCCTTTCAGAGAGAACCTCCGATTCAACCCTGAAACCACATTGAACGTGACCAGCCTGCGGTGGTACCAGATGCTCCATATGAGCCTGATTCTTTAAGTGGAATATCACTATCATAGAATAATTTTCTAGGGCGCAGGAATAAATCTAGCAAAACAATTACTATTAGAAGTTTTGGTAGAAAAAGTTTTCAAGTTTGACTTTTGAAGTAACAACAATAATTTCTCAGCCTGGCACTACACACATTTGCAGTGCTAAACGGATGTTCTCTTTAACTGAATTCTGCCAGTGTAAGGTATCATTGATGGTACAGCTGCCACCACGAAAATCAGCTTTTGTCTGCCAGTAACTGTTTACAGTAAACACTCCTTCCTTCGGCAGCCCCTGGAATGAAGCTTTTAGCAGTGGTTTGGATACACCACCACGGAGGCCATTGCCCACGCTCAGTTTGTGCACTGCTTTGAAAAGATGCTTTCTGAATGTATGGGTAGGGGAGAGCAGACTACTCTCACTGACAGACTTTATTTCTAATATTTTTACATGTATTTGCTGCTTCTTGTAATTACGTGAGGCAGATTACTCTTAAATAAACTTTATGTGGCAGTGGAACTATGTAATTGGGTTTTGAAATGACAAGCCCAGCACATTTTCATTTGTATCTCTCTCACTGAATGCCCGAACTGCAGCATCTTCCCTAAAGCAGGAGGGTTTTTACCAGTGGTGTCCTTTATCCAGCACGTACGTTCTCGGAACACATTGATCTCTCCTTCAGCAGATTCTAGTAACAGACTACTTACTATTTCGTCTACGGCAGCTGGTGATTGTTACAAATCCTGCTATGTTGATATTTTGGTCTGCAAAATATACTATGAACTTCTCTTTCAGCCAAGCATCTTTTTAAACATAGAATAGCTATCGATCCATTTTATTAGAACATATTCTAAGTATTTGACAAGGTAGTTCCAAAATCTCTCATGTGTCATATAATTAGTCTTCAGCTGAGAAAGATTTTCTTTCTGAATTTTATCTGAAACACTTAACTGTGGTCAAATATGAACAATAAATCCCAAATGCCATGGCTGGTTTGTGTCACTAGTGATCTGACTGCATCGTGCCGGCCAGGTCTGGAGGTGGCTGCAGGCTGCCAGACTCATGCTTACACTTGTGTTCACTTTGCCTTCTTACCACACCTGTGAGTAAATGCAGACGAGGCCGTTAGCACCTTATTCTACAGATGGGGAATACCAAGCCCAGAGGAGGAATCAACCTGCCTAAGGTCTTGGAGTGAGATAATAAAGTAGCTTGAACTCCGGATTCAGCCTTCCTGAATTCAGGGTTCTAAACAGAGTCACCTCCTGGTGACAGTGCCATTTTGGTAACATTGAGGAGATAAGAAACGTAGAATTGACAATAAGGGTTAGCTAATTATCAAAGGCTTCTGACAAGACGAAAGTCCTGCTGCTGTTATATTCCTTGCTGTGGACACATCTAGAGGGGAAAATGAGGCAGGCCTAATGGCTGCCACAAAGGAAATAGGGCCTGGGGGGAGGGGGTGGAAGGACCTGGCCACCTAGCTAGGGCATCTTGAAGAGGGACCATTTGTAATCCATATTAAGTGTGCAGGTTCAATCAGTGCAGCTCATAGAACCATGTGTGTCATTTAAGTGGTGTTTTCACTGTAGGCTAAGCTTTTCATTTGGAGTCTGGTCCTTAAAGAGATTTCGTTTGGATGCAATGTCCTAGCGTTCATCTCCCACAAAATGCCCTAGATACTAAGGCTCGAAATGAGAAGGAAGGAAAGAGAGATGGAAGGATAATGCTGTGGGTGTCTTATAATGCCCAGGAAGCAGGCTTCTGGGCCCACAGAAGGGAGCGGGGTGGCCTTCAGCTTGGCTTCAGTCTCAGCCCCACCTGCTTCAGACCAGCTGAGTCCCACAGTGCCACTGGCTTCCCGAGGCAGTTAGTCCTCCTCTGGAGGGCTTCTTCCTCTTTGTGTTTTCTCTCCCAGAATCCCGCCGCATCCTGCTTCCTGTGGTTCTCCACCATATTCACCTCCACCTGCGGCAGCAGAAAGAGCTGCTCATCTGCTCAGGGATTCTTGGCAGCATCTTCTCCATCGTCAAGACCAGCTCTCTGGTAGTGGCCCCGTACCCACTCCGACCCCCGCAGCTCTGCCCCAGTCTTGTGTTACTTAAGCCAGAGGCAGAGCAACAAAGATGGCTTTGTACACTTCTCTGTCAGAGAAGCTTTCATCAGTGACAGGAAGGTGCCTGAGTGAATGGAGGCCTGTGTATGCCCAGCAGGCTTCTCAACACAACACAGTGTTGCTATTTTTAAAAGTTTTGCTACGATAAAGCCACCCAGAAATGTAGTTATCTATAGTACCAAAAAGCCCAATCCTGTGCCATGCTCTGCTTCTACCAAAAGGTGTTAATTCTGCATTCCTGGGAGTGTCCTGAGGGTGCTTGGGCACGAGGACAGGGAGCCAGGCGGGCTGAGAGGCAGCTTGCTCATTCAGACTTTTCTGTCAGTTTCCTGGCAGCTCGATTCCACCCATATGGCGTTCCTGTACTGTGCCAGATGAGGGCAGGACGTAGGAGAGATAACTGCTGCCCACAAGCGCTCCAAGCCCCATGGCGTGGTAGAATTGTGCTTTAGGAGTGAGATTTCAACCAGTAGTGCTTCCGCCTGTTTTCTTTCTTCTTTACATTTTCTTTTAAAAAAAGATCTGTGACCGGAAGGAGGAGAGGAAAGACAGGTATCAGGTGTGGATAAGGGTAGGACATTATTTTAATGATATTTATTAAATATATTTATGACAGTAGAAGACATGCATATTTCTTATAGAAAATGTAGAAACTGTAGGAGGGTGTAAAGAAATTAGGAACAAGAACGAGTTTTTTAATAATACTACCTCATTAAGTTGAAATAAGCTTTCTGGAGAAGGAAATTTCAAGTACATTTAAACTGAAGGCCAGTAGCCAGGTGATAAGAACCTACGAGGTTGGGCTATCCACGTGGAGTAGGACAGGTGCCAAAAAGAGAGTATGCTTGGTTTGCGCAGGATACAGGGACCCAGGAGGGTGCTCTGGTGTCCAGACTTAACAGACCATCTGGGGTTGGGGCCCGGCTTGGCAGAGTGGCTGTGACGGCTTAGTGGCCCTATTGTTTGCTCTTGGCTCCAGGCAGGGTTGGCAGCTCTCCTTCCCACCAGGCCTCAGAGGCAACACGCTGCTAGTAACCTGAGGTCAGACTTGAGGGGTAGGCGGCTTTTTGCTTAAAAAAAAAAAAAAAATCAAAGGGTAAAAGAAAGAGAGGAAGAGGAATGGGAACAGGTTACAACCTGAAGGAGATGGTCTGGTTTTATTGTCGGGTGCAAGTAGTTGCTGACAACTGCTGGGAGAGATGTCACAAGTAGAAGTGTTCCTGGTTCAACAGAGGAGAAAGACGAAGTTGGCCCCACCAGTTGCTCAAATTCTTCCTGTGGAATGGGGCACGGCGCAACTGTATTGAGTGGACGGGTAGGGGATGGATGAAATTTAAACTCCATGAGAGCAGAGATACTGTCTTCCTTGTTCACCTCTGTACACTCAGGTTCTCGAACAATGACTGGCACATGCTGGGTGATGGATTGATGGATAGATGGACAGATGGACAGATGGACATTCGGAACAGTAATATAATAAAGAGGCCGGAGAAGAGGCAGTGGGAATCTCTTTGTGAGATGATTAAAATGAGCTACAGGATTTGAGATTGGATGTGGGAGGTCTTGTCTATAAGAGGAGAGTGTGGCTGCTTCGTACGTGCAGAGCCCGGTGGCGGGGAAGCAGCCCTTAGTGGGGAGGCCTGCTCTTGCTTCTGTACAGCTGCCTGGAAAGACGCACTGAGACCAGAATCCTTCAGGTAGACCAGTGACCACAAGCAAGGGTGCTGAGGAGCTCGAAGTGGGACCAAGCATGTGGGCAGTGCTCGGGTCTGGCAAAGGCTGAGATCACCCCATGGTGGAAATAATCTTCGGAAAGGCTAGGATCCGTCTACGTGCGTTAGCAGTGGAGAGGGTGCCACCCCCACCCCGTGGTGCGAATGGTCAGCCGTGTCATGCTTTCTCCTGACATTTCTAAGGAAATCAGAGAAAGTCTTTAACTCAGGACCTTCACTTTCGTCATGTGTATTGAAATTAACGCCTCTGCCTGTGTTCAGAAGTGTGGGCGTCACGGCGATGCTGGGTGAGGGTCAGGCCCCAGCCATCACGCCGTGGCATCAGCGGCGGGAGTTCCTCCCCTCCTGTCAGAGCTGTCGCCCCAGGCTCCTTGACACTGCAGGCTAGTGAGGCCGCGACCGCGCTGACGTGGCCGACTTAGTAAGTACTGCCAGCTGCACACCAGCCTGGCCCGGCGCTAACGGTGTGCTCTCTTGCCGCTCGCTCCAGGAGGCAGATGTCATGGAGGAGGTAGAAATGATGGTGGAGAGCCTCCTGGACGTGCTCTTGCAGACTCTGCTCACCATCATGAGCAAATCGCACGCTCAGGAGGCGGTAAGAGGGCAGCGGTGCCCGCAGTGCACAGCCGAGATCACTGTTAGTAACTAACGTTCAGGTTTTCTTGCTTTCTTTTCTAACCCGGGGCTCCTCACCAACCCCCACCTCACCATCGCACCGCCCTCGTCTCAGCCTCCCTTCCCGCATGGCTGTCAGCATGCTGCCCTCTCCCCCCGCGAATCCGGCCTCCATCCCCACTCAGAAGCTCTGGCTTCGTGCTCTGCGAGGTCTCCCTTAGGGCCGATTCAGGAGGCGCGTCTCGTTCTGCGTTCCTGCGCTGCCTTCGCTGGTCTTTGCCTTTGAGCCGGGTCATTTTCTATAATGCAGAATGGACTAGAGATGTTGTTAGAAGGTGAGGAATAGACTGCTCCTTCTAGCAGCAGGCTCTCCGGAATGATGTGCCTGGCAGAATAATTTTCTCAGAGTTGGCTCGAGTCCTCACATTAGTCACTTTCGCCCATAGTGTTGGGATCTCAGTGTCTAGTGTCAGGAAAAAGGTGATGAGGTAGACTTGCACCGGGGTACCGGGCGGTGCTGTCCATGGTCTTGCGAGACAAGAAACAGCCCGGGGCAGCTTCAGGAAGAGCAGAGAGGTGGCCTCCGGCACCGGGAGCGGGCTTCTCAGCCCTCGTGTCGGAACGTGATGACCACATTGCACGGAGTCTTCCAGTTGGTAGGCAGGAGATTACAATGATCTCTTCGCAGAAAACCCTCTTGGGAGCAAGCCAAGCTCCAGCGTGGCAGGCGAGCGAGGAGAGCAGAGCCGGGCCTGTACTGCGGGCTGGACTCGGAGAGGGGTCTGCACCCCGAGGAGCACCCGTGGAGGGCGCTCTCAGCCGAGGTGGAAAAGCCCCCTGGCGCCCTGCAACCGTCCCGCTACCGGGGGCCTGACCCCGCTCTGTACCCTTTACAAATCTTAGCTCACTTAGCAATACTAACGAAGTGATTCATTTACGTTGATTTAATGAAGATAATAACTACAGTTTAGCGAGCGCTTCTTTATGTCCTGGACTTTTTACTCAAATGCTTTATGTGCATTAATTCATCTGATCCTCATAACAAATCTGTGAATTATGACTTATTATGCCCATTTTTCATAATAAGTCATACATGAGGTTCACATACATGTATATATTTTACATCTCTATATGCATAATAATTTCGTGGGTCTAGAAGGGATTTGAGAGCCTAAAAAACTGTTGTCAAATTCCCATGAGTTTAAAAACATTTGAAAATTGCCAAATGAAGTCGTTTTCCTCCATGACTTCTGAGGAGGCCGTCCTGTAAGAGGAGACCACGCTCGGCCACCACTAGCCAAGAATTGCCGTGAGATGGTGGAAGGCTTCGGAGTCCCTAAGGCAGGGTTTTCTTCCATGTTACCCCAGTTGGAACTTGGAGAAAGTTTAAAGACTCGTTTTTATCTTTAAATTTTATTTGTCTTAAAGGCCGGAGCTCATCTTCTCATTCAGGTCAGTTTTGACTTCTCTGCTTTCCAGACAGTTGTGTTGATGTATATCCCACCTGCCTGGTCCAATAACCACATGGAAACTCTGGGAGGTCCCCAGGGAGATCCTTGTAGAAGGACCCAGCAGGACGGGCACAGAGTCCAAATTCTGTCCAGAGAAGGCCAAGCACTCTGATCCACGTAGCCGCTCTAGACTTCAGTACAGTGCGCTGGCAACATAGAGTGACAAAGGACGATGTGGCTGAAGCTCTCTTAGGAAGATAACTGGAATATCCGCCTCACTTTGCCGTGCTTCTTTGTTGTAGATTAAGGTTTTTCACCTGGGCCCACACTGCAGAGGTCTTGCTAAAACTCCCCAGCCTCCCCTAGCAGGACTCCCTCTCCTAGCAGAAAAGAAAACTTATTCCCAGGGCCTCAGTTGTCACCTTCCCTTCCATGGTCATTGGGGCCATCTCAGACCCTTCCTGCTGTCCTTGCCCTCTGTGGACTGGGGGAACACAGCCCTTGTGATTATCTGTGCTAAATGTTTTTTGGGTTGGTCCTCAGGGTGAGTATGTGTCCTGCCTTCTCTCGCTGCTCCGCCAGATGTGTGACACCCACTACCAGCACCTCCTGGACAACTTCCAGAGCAAAGATGAACTCAAGGTGGGCAGAAAAGCACTGACTGACCTTCCACCTAGGAAGGGAAGCATGTGGCTAAGATTCCCCAGGGGCTTTCCCCTGCCAGGGCCAGCGCAGGTGACCAGAGCTGCTAAGGGTGCAAGATTCACCAGCCCCACTTTACAGCTGACTGTATGGCTTCCAGAAGCTGAAAGCCGACAATATTCCCATACAGCCAGACCCTGGTGACACTGGCAGGTTTTCCCTGACTGAAAGCAGCCCTGTGACCATGTTCCTCTGGGAAAAGCTGCTCAGCCACACTGGTGGCTTCCTTCCGTATAAACGCTACAGTCAGTCACCTTAGATTTTGCCCCTGCAAACCAAGCTTCACTGTTTAATAACTATAATAGTAATAATGGTGACAACTTCCCTTCATTAAAATGTATTTATGTAAGATAACTGTAGAGAGCAGAAGTGAGCACAGCCCACTGGCTGCCAGACTCTGGATCCAGATGACGGGGAACCTGGGAGCATTCCCAAACCTCACGTGGCGTCAGCTGCTGACACACTCCTGGGGCTTGTGTCTTTGCATTGGAACATACTGCTCAGGTCATCCCTGGGTGAAGGAGCTATTGCAGACTTTAGGTCCATGCTCTACCTCATTCAGAGCCATCACTTTCATTTCAGAGTAATGCATTGCACTGTTTGTCATTTGTGTGATCTTTAAGAACCGTATTGCATCACTTAATAAGTGTCAGTTGTCACTTCCGGTATCTGGTCCTGCCTGCCTTTCCAATTTGCACAGACACAGGTCTCTGCAAATTGTTGTCGTTAACTCTTGCAGTGAGGCCAGCCTATCTTCTCCGAGAGATGACCTTGAAAACCCTTGAAGCGAACCAACAGTTAGCCAGAGCCCGGACCTCACATCTGGGTCAAGCAGTGCTTGAGCTGGGCTGTGGAGCCTGAAAATCCAGCCTTGGCTATTCTAGACCATTTTCATCGTGTGCGTATGCATACGTGCACACGCGTGCTACTGATTCTCAGGTCAGGCTAGCATCATTCCCTTACTTTTTAATTAAATGTTTATTTTTATCACAGCAACATGTATACATAATTTTAAAAGCCAAAGCATTTTGCAAAGCTTAGAACATAAAGCAGTGGTTCCCTGGCTCACCCTGAGCCATGTCCAGTCACTGCTCCCCAAAGGCAGCCACTTTGAACTCTACCATTCTTCAAGTAGCTTCTGCTGCCACTTTTAAAATTCTAATTGTTAGTTATTACCTATTTTCTTCTTCTCATGGAAAATGAGGATGATTCCCCTGAATTATTCCTTTCTCACACATACATGTCCTTCCTCTCATTCTTCCAATATAATTTGCATGTTTTTGTTTAATTTGGTATTCTACTCTCCTTTATTACAGTCAGGTAAGTACTGCGGCGAGCCAAGAGCTGTACTCTGACACTTCCTTTCTTATAAACTTTTTGTTTTTTCCTGGATTAATTGCCTCTTTTGTTACTTGCTTGGTTTTATTTTCTTTTGGTTTTCAGATCTGGCTAGGACTTCCTACCTTCTTTGTTATTTGCTTGGTTTTGTTTTCTTTTGGTCTTTAAGTCCAGCTAGGACTTCCTGTTTTCTCTGTCGTCTCTGTAACATACCTCTTCTTCCAACTGTCCTCATGGTGGAATCCGTCACATACTGTCAGGTCACGTTTTTCCCTGGAGACTTGCCCTGTTTTCATTCGTGTCAGTCTCTTTCATGTTAGACTTTCCTCCTACATGTGGAGACCTGGATGTCAGTTTGTGTCTACAGGTGAGGTCCTTTGGTGCTGATTAGCTCTGCGTGTGCAGGGCTTGTCTCCAGCAGGCTTCCCTGTACGTGGTCGAAGAGAGGCCATCTGGTCCAAACATCCCCTGACTCCTGTGTCTGTCAGCCTTTCTCTTGGACTTGCCTGTTTCCTCAGAGAGGAATCCTTTACCCTTCTCACGGATGGAGTAGCCCGCCAATATTTGGGGAACCAAATAGGAAAAGGGGGTTGGGAGTCTTCCAGTTCAGCAGCTAAACTTTCTGTCACCGCCTGTTTTCATCTTGGCACCTCCGCCCTCAACTGTTGCTGTTTCCTTGAGAACAGATCCTCAGTGATCAACAACTTCAGAGAGCCATCCTCAGTCTTAAGACGGGGTGGGGAAACATGAGATGGCAGAAGGGATCGTAGGAAGACTATAAACCAGTCCTCCTGTTTTTAGCCCTCATACTGCAGTCTCTCAGAGGTGCCTGCTGAGACCTCCAGTGTCTCAGATTCTTGTTTCCTGCTGCTATCACTTCCAAAGGCTCTTGGCTATTAGCTTTTTCAGGTATACTAAATCAGTTACCATGAAAGCTTCCAAAATTTATTGACCTCTTGCACTCTCTTCTGTTTCTTTGTCTCTGTGAGCATATGTATTTCTGTAGCTCTACTGTTATTTTAGAGAATTTGAGGAAAAACAGAGATGAGGGAAACACGTTCACTCCACCACACTGAATATGGAGTTCTGTACACGTGTTCTTTCTTGCTGACAACATTATTGAGATGTAATTCGCATACCATAAAATTCATACTTTTAAACTATAATTCAGTCTCTGATTATATCCATCTTAAAAGACTTACAAGTAATGAGATTAAGTTAATAATTTAAAACCTCCCACAAAGAAAAGCACAAGGTGAGATGGCTTAATAGATCAATTCTACCAAATTTTTAAAGAACTATTAATATCAATTATTCACAAATTCTTCAAAAAAATAGAAGAGGAAGAAAACTTCCCAACTCATTTTATAAGGTTAGTATTACCCTGCTATGAAAACCAGAGACATTGCAAGAAAAACAAACTACATGCCAATATCCCTTATGAAAATAAATGCAAAAATCCAGAGCAAAATACCAGCAAACGTGATCCAGCAATGTATTGAAAAAATTATACACCACATGATCAAGCGGGATTTATTACAGAAATGCAGGGTTGGCTTAACATATGAAAATCAATCAGTGTAATACACCATTAAATAGAATAAAGGTCAAAAACATGATATCTTAAGGATGTAGAAAAAGCTCTTTTAAAAAAATCTCCAAATTTTTCATGATAAAATCATTTAACAAAATATAAATAAAAGAGAATTTCTTTAAACTGATAAAGAGCATCTATGAAAAACCCATAGCTAACATCATACTTAACAACAAAAATTTGAATAATCGAATGCCTTCCTGTTAGGATCAGGAACAAAAGAAACATGTCTATTCTAACCACTTACATTCATTATATTGGAGGATCTGCCTGGGGCGTTTAGGCACAAGAAAGAAAGAAAAGGCATCCAGATTAGAAAGGAAGAAGTAAAACTATATCTTCAAATGATATGATTTTGTATACAGAAAATCCTAAGGCATCAGTGAAAACACTATCAGAAGTAATAAGTTCAGCAACATTGCAGGATACATGATCAATATACAAAAATCAGTTCTATTTCTTTTCACTAGCAAGGAACAGTCCAAAATGAAAAAGAAAAATAGTTCCATTTACAATAGCATCAAAAAGAATTAAAAATCAAGGAAAGAAATTTAAAAAGACCTAAATAAATGGCAAAACAGCCCAAGTTCATGGATAGGAATACTTAATATTAAGATGACAGTACTTCACAGAGTGATCTACAGGTTTGATACAAGAACAGTTACCTTTTTGCAGAGATTGACAATCTGATCCATAATTCATAGGAAAATGTAAGGGACTCAGAATGGTCAAACAATCTTAAAAAAAATTACTGGATTCACACTTCTCAGTTTCAAAACTTACAGCAAAATAACAGTAATCAAGATTGGTACTGGCATAAAGATAGGCATATCGATCAATGGAAGTGGATTGAGAATCCAGAAATAAACTTATGTTTATGTCGGTTGATTTTCAATAATGGTGCCAGGACAACTCAATGAGAAAGATGAGTCTTTTCAACAAATGGTGCTGGGATAACTTGATATCTACGTGCAAAAGAATGAAATTATACCCCTACCTCACACCATATAAAAAATTAAAAGGGATCATAGACCTAAATAAGAGCTAAACTGTAAACTTCTAAGAAGAAAACATAGGACTATATCTTTATGCCCTTAGGTTTAACAGTGGTTTTTAGATATGATACCTAAAGCACAGCAACAAAATAAAAAATACGTAAGTTAGACTTCATCAGAATTTAAAACTTCCAGAGAACACCAACAAGAATGTGAAAGAAAACCTACAGAATGAAAGAAAATATTGGGAAATTATATATCTAATAAAAGGCTTGAATCTAAAATGCATAAAGAACTCTTACGATTCAACAATGAAAAGACAACCCAATTAAAAAAATAGATAATGGATTTTAATAGACATTTCTCTGAAGAAGTACACATGAAACATGTTCAACATCATTAGTCATTAGGGAAATGCAAATCAAAATCACAATAAGACAACCACTTCACACCGAAAGTAGATATAATCAAAAAGACAAATATTGGCATTAATTTTAATTATTTTGGTTGAATACACCAGTGAAGGCATCTGGTCCTGTATTTTTCTTTGTGCAAAGCTTTTTACTAATTTGATCTTTTCATTTACGATAGGTCTGTTCAAATTTTCTGTTTCTTAAATGAATTTCGGCAGTTTATATCTTTCTAAGAATTTGTCCGTCTCATCTAGGTTATATAATTTGTTGGCATGCATCTATTCATAGTAGTCTCATAATCCTTTATAGTTCTGTAACATTGATAAGAATGTCCCTTCTTTCATTCTTAATTTTAGTAATTTGAGTCTTCTCTGTCTCTTTTTTTTTTTCTTGGTCGGTCTAGCTAAATGTGTCAATTTTGTTGATCTTTTCAAAGAACCAACTTTTGTTTTCATTTTTTCCTCTGTTTTTCTATTCTCTATTTAATTTATTTATACTCTAATTTATATTCTCTGCCTCCTGCTTGTTTTAGGCTTAGTTTGCCTTTTTTCTAGTTTCTTAAGGTGTAAGCTAGGCTATTGATTTGAGATCTTTTCAGTAAAGGTTTTAGCTTCATCCCATTAGTTTCGATTTGATGTGTTTTCATTTTTATTCATCTCAAAGCGTTTTCTAATTTCTCTCATGGTTTCTTCTTTGACTTATTGGGTATTTGTGAATGAACTGTTTACTTCCACATATTTTTTATTTTCCCAAATTTCCTCGTGACTGATTTCTAACTTACTTTCATAGTGGTTAGAGAACTTGCTTTATGTGATTTTAATTATTTTAAGTTTATCGAGGCTTTCTCTGTGGCCTAGCGTATGGTCTGTCCTAGAGAAGAGAATGCCCAAA